TAGGTTAGATTGATGTGGATGAGATTCATCAGGATAAATCAATAATCTTTCTAATCTTCTATCTCTCATTTTATTCTTAGGTAAGATTCCTGAAACAGGCTTTTCTCAAAATCTACAAACCAAACCAAAACGAAACGAAAAAAGGTTTAGTCAACAATAAAAAGACTTGATTGGGAAATGTGAAGAAACAAACCATGGTTGGATTTTGTTCTAATAGTTTGGAATATGGGGTTTCTTTTAATGCTCCTGGATATTGACTATGAGAATAATAAATCTTTTGGGCTTCTTTTTTTCCTGTAACTTTAATTAACCTAGCATTTGTAACCACAACATAATCACCTATATCAACTTATTTTTTTTCAGAAACCAAAAAAACACAGTTGTCGTCAGCTTTTAATAAAGAAGCGTATTTCTCTTAATCGATTGAAATTTACTTCGAGGATCAAAGAATGGTTTATATTTTCCCATTAATGTATTGGCTATTTGTGTAGCTAATCTTCCTAGGATTTGATCTTTTGCATCTACTTGTCTCCAAACTCTTGCGAAACCAAGTGCCGTCTATTACAGAAAGGGTACAAGGATCCTTTGATGTTATGTTATTTTTTTTGGATTTTTGATCGGGTTGGAATGCATTGGGACTAACGTTGGAGACAGAATATGACATTGTTCTTGGAGGTTCAGAGGTTTCAAATCGCAGTGGTCTTGAGTTGTTGTGATGAATTGGAGAAGTTGAGGTTTGAATGAAGAGATCGAGGTGTAGAATTGAAAAATTATGGTGAGTCTTCACACTTGTCGGTCCCAGAAAGACCCGCAAAGAAACCATGGAGTGTGTGCGCCCTGTGCATACGGAGATTCGCCGGTGCATGTCTCATCAGCCGCGCATTAAGGTGAAGTTTACAGTCGACTTTCTTCAAGGTGACGTTGTAAAACCAACTTCAATTCAATAATGCATGACTCAAATCAAACCGATCATCACAAATCAAAATCTCATCATCACGATAAAAAGAAATCAAAGGACGAAAAAAGACATCATAAATCAAGAAAAACTGAATCAAAACAGACTAATCTATCAGATGAAGAAGCATCATGGGTAGAAAAACCAATCGTTCAATCTGTAAGATTCACTTTATCAGAAAGGCTTCGTGGTTTCAATGAGAAAATTCAAAGGACTGATTTATTACATTTCAAAGGTTAGAGATAATCTCTCAGATCGTACGGTAGCAACATCATCACACTCGACACTTGATCAATCCAACAAAAAAACTACGACGAGCAGCTTAAAAGAGTATGGTCAAGATTCATCAAAAAATGAAGAGGTTGATTTTTTCAGTTCACTTGGGAAAGAGATGCGAGGTACCAATGTACGGGAGGCGGCAGAACAACAGAAAGCAACGCAAGCAGAAGAGAAAAGAGTGGGTCCAATTTCTGAATGATTTAGTACTATATACTGAAATATAACTTTCTTCTTTTGCTGAAAGATGTCAAGCTCTATTGTAAGACTTGGTGCCGGTGATCCTAATTACAAACCCAACGATGATCCACCTTCTCGTAAGATCAACATTTTCTTATTTCATCGAGGGTTTAGCTAATCTATCAATTTCTGATTACCAGCACCAGCTAAGCCAGTCTTTGGTGGACCAGGTTATCAGTGGAGGATGACAAAGCTGAAACGAACTTATGAAACAGCAGCTGAGGAAAACCGATCGATTGAAGAAGTCGCCATGGAACGTTATGGTTCATTATCTGCTTGGGAAGATGCTCAAGAAGAAAGCCGAGTCATCAATGGTTCACAACGTAATCATCAGAGAAGTCGAACGGATAGCAGTAAAGGCAGTTTACAAAGTACCCCTGCACGCGAAGGTTCTGATCGGAAATATCTTTTCTCATCTGAGTCGGGAAGTGCCAATCGGCCTGCATTCAGGAGGCCCATGAGTGGTCGTAATACACCTGGGTCTGAAAGGGACATCAATACCCCGTCAAACAATACCAATGCTCACAGGCGTGTGGATCTCCTTCGTCAAGAGTCATCCTCGAAATTCGCTTCACCTTCTTCCTCTGGGCCTTCGAGTCCTGTCCCATCGGCATTGAACCCATTGGCAAGCGTGTCTTCATCACCCAGACGACCAGAAGTGGCCTCAAGTACTGGCACAACGACGCTCGATTTGAATAAATTACAAGCCGCATTGATGAAAGCCAAGATGATGGGCTCTGATACAGTTCCTGACCTAGAGAAACAATACGAAGCTGCCCTCAAAGCGAAGTCGGAGGAAGTCATACCTGCTAACCAAGAACGTGTGGAAGTGGTACCTACACTTGATGGTCGAGGAAGAATGTATGATTTAGGGTCTGGTAATGTAGATGAGGCTGGACCATCACAACCTGGAAATCGACGCAAAAAAGAAGCCAAAGTGAGTTGCCTCATAATTTTCTTGATTTGCTTTTTTGGTTTAAAAAAAGATGTCTCTCCTTGGATCGATCTTCACTTGTAGGTTGAAACTCGGGACCCCAAAACAGGAGAATTTTTGCGATATAACGCAGATGATGATCAACTTAGCTTGAAAGATCTAGTCCGACAAGAAAAGTTTCAAGCAGGTTCTGCTGATCAGAAAAACATGGACGCTGAGATGGCTCGCAGTATTATGACGGATAGTAAATATGAGGTAAGCATTCTGCAGCGGGGTTTTATCCTCTAGTCTCTTCCTACTTGATTGAACCTTTGGTTTCTCTCCTATCAGAATGATCTGGACTATATCGATGATAATGCCGATCGCCTAGCCAAAAAGAAAATGAAAACCGATGCCTCCAAGCGTTTGTTTGCCATCAACGGTAAGTGTATTCTGTGGTCGTTAACGCTTTATGCGCTTACCAGACCATGCTTACCGTTTTGAATTGGCGATGTAGATTACTCCAGAACGAAAAAGGCATTGGAGTCATGTCAGTTTTGTTATGGAGACGATGGTTCACATCCAAAGATTGGAATCATATCCAGTGGCACAAAAGTTTATCTTTGTCCTCCATTGTTCGAAGAGCTGGTTCCAGGGCATTGTTGGATTGTACCCATGCAACATGTACTCTGTTCTTTGGAACTAGATGATGACGCGTGGGATGAAATCAAAGTCGGTTCTTACCACTCAGATTCATTACGAGTCCTCAACTTGCTTGCCACATTCATTGATGCTGACGTGGCTTTTCATATATTGGCTTTATCGCTCAGAACTATATGAAGTGTCTAATGCGAATGTTTTCAGAAAAGTTTGACCAAGGCGTACTATTCTATGAGACGATCCTCTCTTTCAAACAACAACGTCATAGTTACATTGAAGCTGTTCCTATCTCATGGGACCTCTTCAGCGATGCGCCAGCATATTTCAAAGTAAGTTGTTTTCTACACTATATTTTTATGAAATACAATTCGATTGATCTGATTGATTTTGTTAACCTTATTTAGGAATCTATCATGACTTCAGAATCTGAATGGTCACAACACAAAAAACTGATTGATTTTTCAGCAAGACCAGGTGGATTTAGACGTTCGATGGTATCTAATTTACCTTACTTTATGGTACAATGGGATTATAAAGGAGAAAAAGGATATGGACATGTGATTGAAGGAAATGATGAAAGTTCAGGAAGAGCTGGACGTGGTGAGAATGGTTCAGAAGAGATTTCATCAATTTTAGATGAAGAAGGAAAAGGTGGTGAATTTCCTAGGTTAGTTTGGAAAAAAAATTCTTTTTGGATCTTGTAACAAAAAAAAAGATGAATTTTAATTATCATTATAACCAAGGCTTATTTTTTTTTTTGATTGTTTGATAGATATTTTGCTGCTGAAATTATTGGAAATTTACTTGATTTAGAACCAAGGAAATGGAGAAAACCAAAGAGATTAGCTTATCATGTTCATCAAAAACAAGTTTTAAAGTTTAAAGATGAATTAGGGTATTCTAAGTATGATTGGACTGGACTTTTGACTCAATAGTTTATAATCCTATACCTGAAGGGTTTTCAGAGTTGTACTTTTTTAAGCTTAGGATATAGTCTATATTGATTTAGGAATCATAATTGGGTATGGATGTGTGATTGTGTATGTAGTTTCTTGATTTTGTTACCATTGATTCCAGTTGTGATTGGATCTGTTTAAAGCCCTTTGTTCAAGTTATTATGTTCAAAATGTCTTTTGTTGGTTGCTATTAATTGATCATACGTGGAAAAGGTTGCGAAGTTGTATGAGATTTGTAATGATGGTGAACAATTGGTTTGATAACCAGTAGGCTTCAGGTCAGGTGACTTGTTTAAAGGAGTACTACAAATCCCAAGAATCACTTGGAGTTTTTAAGTATGTTACTGGCTGGAGTCTGTCTGCACTGTTTGCAGATTGTCAACCCCATAAGAACCATACATCAATAGCCTCCCCATGATGATATTCAAAATTAATCCAGGAATCTAGTCATGGCATGTAGGCTAATTATAGTGAAGATTTAGGAGAGATTTTTTTCCATTACAAGTGATCAGAGTCCAAGAATTATCCAAGGTGAAACACTAAAGGTGGTATAATGATAAACATATCAAGAAACATAGGATGTAAGATCTCAAAAAGTTCCAGGAAGACAATGTGCATATTCCGATGAATGTGCTCTGTGAGAGAGAAAGTTTGAATGGTTATCAATAAACTTCGATGATGACTCTTTTCAAAATAGTGTAAAACTTACCGTACAAAACCCGATGTGATAGATACGTAGTGGAAAAAGGCAGCAAAAAGAATCAAGACGTGAAAGATCTATTGAAAAATGCCAGTTCAGTTCACTTTATTCAAGTCTCTAGCTATCTATGTACCACAGAGCAATTGAAGACATACCTGATGACTAGATCCTACTAAATCAAACTTTCCTGGGTTAAAGCGTTCTGGAAACCTTTCAGCACTAGAAAACAATACAAAAACAGTCCTATGAGCTTTGAAGCCTCGTCTTACATCCTAGTATCATGTACGAACTAGAATAATGCTCCGACTATATAGGTTACACCCGATAGGAGCAACCAATCCAGACCAATGCGACTTCCAGAGTGTTGTATCTAGCAGTCAGAAGCATCAGTTCAGTACTATAAATATGAAAGTGTGATGAGCAAGATCTTACTCCGAATTTGATGGCTCCATGTCCGATTGGAAGAACAGCACTTAGTGCAAGAGCTATGAAGATCAAAGTGCGTTTTGTACGTCCCTCTTTAGACCTGTAAGTAGGTGTGACGACGGTATAAGTCGCACCTGATCATATTTTACGAGTCTTTGATTAGAATTCTTTGATTGAATTAGACAGGAGGGATGATGTTGAGCTCACCGATACCAAGCGTTGTGATCAAGGCAAGATAGGCGGCTGTTATCTTTGGATAACAATAGAAGCCATAGTAAACTGATGGATAGAATGAACCGACGATCAGCCAGACAATTCCCATATAGTCTAATCGACCCAACGTTGCACAGACCTAGAAATGATTCAGGAAATCAGTAAGTGACGCTAATGAGTTGTGAAGTAGTGAAGCTGGCACTCAACAACTTCACTGTGGCAAGAGACAGTGTGATAAGTAGCGCTAAAGCCAAGGCAAGCCAGCCCGCTCAAATAAAAGCAAGCAAAGACAGCCGTATCTACCCATGTTACAGAGGTAGGATCAACATGCGATCTTCCAATCCAAGTTGGGAGAGTCCATGGCATGAATTTTGAAGGGCTAGTAAGAGACATCACAAGTGTGAAGAACGTGACGGCTCCCCAGAGATGGCTATGGATATTGACTGGATGATACGACAACCACCATTAGTGAATGTAAGAGAGGCGGGGTACTTGTAGAGGGTTCGAAGGGAAAATCAACTCACCGGTTTCATTGTGAAAATAAGAGAACACTGATTTTATGCATTTCAAATAACAACCAAGAGTGGGACGATATCCTGTGCGGACATCTGTTCATCAAATGGCCAATTGCGTGAGATCAGCTTTGAAGCCGTCTATATGGTTCGATTGGACAAAATCATACAAGGGTTGTCTTTTCTCCATGCTGGCAGATCATCAAAGATCAAGGTCTTGGTGCCTTTCTTTCGCTGAGTGGCAGACATTCGAAGGAGCTTCCGCTTTTCGCTCGAAGCTAACTAGAAGAGAATGATGAAAATGTTCCTAAGAGGTTGTTGCGGCAAACTTGCGCCCGACTGATAACATGCGGTTGATCCTTAGAACTATAGATATCGATGAACTCGGTGGGACCGACCTTTCAAAACAAGGATGATCTTTGATCTTTGATCTTTGGATGGATCAAGAATAGGGAAACATCATCTGAGTCTTATACCTCACTTCGGGGCATGTATGTACAGACCCATCGCACATTACAAAACGGGTGAGTGTGTATGTAGCGATCATGCTCAGGAACAGTGCAAAGACCTTGGTCTGGAGCATTGATGGGGCAAGGAGTTCGATCCGTTTTTGGCCTCCCCTAAGTGGCGCGAGTAGAGGAATTTCGTGTAGTTCACGGATGACCATTAGTATTATGGAAGGTCTGGATATCTGCAGACCTACATATCTGCACTCCTGATAAGGAGGTTGAGGCAGAGCTTAGACAGGCTAAAGCATAACTACTGACTCTGTTTAGCCGATCAGGTGAGACCCTGACGGGTGGAGGCGATCTGAATCGTTTGGGGGCAAAGTGGAACAAAATACATTGACTACCCCATGATCGAAGAACACCACAAGGTGGGAAAAATGGAAACACTAAAGCATAAATCAAGATTCAAATTGCCTAATCCAAGTCCATCGATTGACCTCCAGTGGTCAATGCACTTTTCGAAGCCTTCACCTTCATCTTGTGTCTCATCTTACGTGGTGGTTTGTCTTGTGAGTCAGTCGTTTGTAGTAGTGCATCAGCAATAGCTTGAGTACCGCTGGTGGTCTCCAAGTATCCTTCAGTGTTAGAATCGGTCTCCATAGGTGTATCGGAGATCGTCACCTTCTTCATCCTAGCTTGCTTGAGCTCTAATTCACGAGCACCAATCTTAGCCAACCTAATTTCGGCCGCCTTAACAGCCTTCTGAGTAAGTTCATCTTCACGTAAACCAAGTACATGTCGATCCTTCACCACCTCGGTAGCCAAACTCTTTCGAGTAACTGGAGCTGAAGCTGAGATACGAGCAGCATAGAATGCACGCTCTCGTCTAGATTTGATCTCGGCAATTCGATCGATAGCCGTCACGGTAGAATTAACGAGTTCTCGATCGTATTTGATCGGCACATTCCTTCGCTTTTCGAAATCTAATGTAGAATCCTATGAAAGAGAGTACCCAAAACAAAGTAAGAAAGATTAGTTTCTTCAAATTTGAAAGAAAAAATATATAGCTAGCATACCATCGTCATCTCCTTTCCTGCAGCTTTTCGGAACGCCTTGGTCCATCTGACCTTTCGAGGGTTACGTTTCATTTTGAAATTTTTGTGACATCTAATTAAAGAGAGGAAATCAAACGAACCAAAAGAAAAGTTCAAGATGAGATATTAATTGATTAGTTGGTTTAGAATAAAGCTTACTTTGAACGACAAAATCGAAACATCTTGGCATCGTTTCGAACAAACATTGTGCCTAAGAAAAAAGACATCTCGGTCAGTGAACATTGTAAGGATTGTCAAAAGTTTTATCAAAGAGGAAAATTTACCATGACCAGGATAAACATTAGCACCACAAAAGTAACATTTCTCGATCCTCATTGTATGGAGATAGGATTGAGAGTTTAGGTGATTGGAGTGATTGGAATGAGACTGATTTGAAAAGTCTGTTGAAACCTTCCCTTGTCCTGAACAAGTCTAAAAAAAATTACACAGTCTGCGGTGTGCCATACAGGCATCTTGAATTGAGCCACCCACAGTATGCTTATAACCAATCACCGTACAAACACATACTATGGGGTTTGAAACCTCGCTTCAGGAAATTCCTCACTTTATCAATGACAACAAGACAGAACAAGACACCTTCTCTTGGATCAACTTCCCAAGCGAAAGTAATCTTCAGGCTAGAATTTCGAAACATCAAGATATACATTCAGCTCTCTCAGGCGTACGCGCTGATTTTTTTTGGTAGGCTTTAAAGGCGGAATTAATCAAGTTTCAAAATACAAAGCGTTCCTCAGGATCGTTAAATATGTGGCAAATTTGATTATGAATGTAAAGTCAAATTTCAAGTTGGAATTGAAGATAATCTTGAGTCTTGACTGATTGGAATCTACATCTCCTGGGTCGCACTCAGAAAGTGACTCGTGGTGGGGATTGTATGGATTTAAACATTATTTACATGCACGTAGAGTTGGAACCTTCATGATGAGGCCACAATCTAATGGAGCCAGGAAGTTATTTAACTCGGAATGGATTTGCCTGATACGACTTCTGGATAAAGTCTACGAACATTTGACTACAAAAGTGAGTAAGGAAGATCCAACTTAGCTGGAAATCATGAGCCCAGGTCGAATATGTCGCTAGAGTGCGTAATCCTGAGGGGATATCCTACTTCATATGAATCGCAAAAGATTACAGGGGCATTTAGTAGATTTTACTATACAATCAAGAATGAATTCACAGACCTCATATGACTGGTATAAGATCCAAGTAGGTTGATTTTCTTAATCTAAAACTTCACATTATCCAATCCAAGCTCAGTGATAATTAATTGACGTAAGACGAGAAGACTATCATCATCCTGCTGGATTAGATCTAATCTTCACATTTTGAAGTGGTGAATTGAGAAATGATAATTAAATTTTCCAGAAGAGCCTTTGATCAGATGAAAATCCACCAAGTTCAAGATGACTCTGTTCTTTTCCTTAACGATTTGACTCAATCCATTTACCAGATATCATCCCACCTGATCTTCAAGCTTTGAATAATTTCCTTTATTTTTTCGTTTAACTTGAAGTTCCAGTTTTGATCTCAAGATCGAATTTATTTATTTATCTAGCTTTTATCCATAAGAGAGAGAGAGAGAGAGATGTCTTTGATATCAAGGAGAAATCAGTTTTATTATCAATCTAATCAACTCAATAATAGTAGTAACAGTTTAGATTCTAGTCATCATCCATATCAATCACAATACTCAAGAGATACAAATCCAAAGATAGTGAATCGAAGTAGAAGTGTTACTTTCAAAGATGGTTCAGCACTTCATGATCATCATCAAATCATAAATCATCGAAATCGAAACTTGAGTTTAACAGAAAGAACTACTAGAGTAGTAGAATTTCCTCAGCATTCTACTCATCAAACTCAACATCATTATCAACAAGATTATTATCAAAATAAAGAAAACCAATCAGAGTGTTTGAAAGAACTTGATTCGAATCAAACTCCAATTAACACTAACACCCATCTCAAACGACATCGAAGAAAGTCACGATCGATTTCAAATTTAAAACCAATTCTCATTAATCAATATCCTAAACTGGTGATTTCCAATTCTAATTCTTTACCTTCGTTACCTTTACCTTTTAATAATAATAATAATAATAATAATAATAATAAGAATAATACTATCAAGACTTTACCTGATTTACCATTTCATCATCATCGACCAGCACCACTTCCACCATCGATATCACCTTCACCTTCACCTTTACCCATCTTACCATTGGCACCCGCACCACCTTCTTTTAAATTTAAATCAATTGAAACTCTCAAATCTAATAATAGTATTAGAGCTCATCCACCTCAGAATGATTTATCAATTCAATTAGAGTCTTATTCAATTCAATATACTCCAAATCATCAAAACCAAAATCAAACTACAACAAAGATTCATTCAATCATCACCAATCTCAAGACGCCAATCTCACCCACTCATTCTAAATTTCTTTCATCTACTCATTCAATGTCACTTCAATCTCATTCTCATTCTCAATCTAGATCTAGATCTGATCTTCAACTTAAATCTAATTCCAATTCAATCTCACCAAATTCACATGCAAATCCATCCATCACCTCTTCACCTCCTGCTTCAATCACACCATCTTCTAATAATCTGGCTACAATACAATTTCCAATTCGTTTGGATACTCGAACCGAACTCATCTCTATACTCGATTCTATACTTGGATCTCATCGACTTTCAACTCTAGTCAATCTTGATCACTTACGAAATGAACCTAATGATACTCCAACCATCAGTCCTTCCTCAAATCCGACTTCACCTCAATTATCAGTTCAAAGCCCAACTCCTTCTGCAACAGATACCAGTCAATCAAAGGGATTATTCAAACGGCTTGGTTGGCGTACGAGGGCGATCACTCTTGCTTCTATTCGTCCTTCTACAGCTACCACTTCAAAATTGACTGAAGATCCACCATCCAGTCAACGTGATTCTATCAAATCATTTCGTTTGTTTGGCGCTCCACTCTCTGAGACGGCTTGTGCTAGTTGTGTTACCATCATTGGTGGTCAAAAACATAGACTTCCTATCTTGGTCTTCAAAACAGTCGAAGAGATTTACACAAGAGGTGAGTTTCTCAGATTCCGATCATTACTTACCAAAGTTCTATACTGATGTTGACTTGATTGTAAATTCAATTAGGTCTTGGAATCCCTGGTTTATTTAGGACCAAAGGAAATCCTCTTCGAATCGAATCTCTTATCAAAGCTTTCGAAACTTCTCCATCTTATGGTGATTTAGTAGCTCTCGATCGTGAAGGAGTCTTTGATCTATGTGATTTACTCAGAAACTTTTTATGGTCATTACCTCAACCACTACTCGAACCCGATTTAGGTGAATTATTTTGGACAACTTGTGTAGATGAAGATGGACCTGAAAAGTTACCGATCGCTACAAGAGTTACGATTGCTCAAGTGATCTTTAGATTACTACCGACACGTTCTTTTAGTCTTTTGGTTTATCTGATTGCCTTTTTATCACAAATCCCACTCTCTCCTGGTAACCAATTAAGCCTTCCAATGATTTCTCAAATCTTTGGTCCAGCTCTTTTAGCTCCTAGAAAAGTTGGAATCGTTGGACTTGGAATTGATGGTCACTCAGCTCTTTTAGAATCAAATATGCCTAAAGAAATCTCACGTAGAGCGGTTAATGGATTGGCATGGCTTCAATCTAATTGGAATCAAATCACTGATGGTCTTCTTGATGAACGTATCCGGTATCCACCTCCTCAGGCTAGTCTACCATCAGTCCCTACCTCACCACGAGCGCTAACCATCGTTGAAGAGGCTTCCTTCGAATGTGATAGCGAAGGGCAAGCTGAAACAGAAGTGGAGAAAATAATTTCAAGTGACAAAAAGACTGAATCCCAACCCGAGATAGAAACTGAGTCTACCATCGGTCTTGCTACTTCTCCTGATACTCGCTATGATCCTTCGTTTGACAGTCGTCACCCTACAAAGATACCTTATGCTTTGCCTCGTCATGCAACAGCTCGTAGGTCAATCTCCCTTCCACGCCGCCATCTTGACTTAAGTCCATCAGTGGCGCTGCAACCACGCAAGGCAAATGACTCATCACGAAGTTTATCCGTATCATCATCTGCCAAAAAACCACTTGATCCTCGACCAACGTCTTGTTCACAATCTCTAATCGACTACCCTCAATCTACTGCGCGCATGTCATGTGGCAATCTGAGCCATCATCTTGATCCAAGTCTATCAACCATGTCAGACTCACAGAAGACCATTGATCCGCCACGAAGTCTCTCGGCATCATCAGCTACAAAAAAACATTCTAATCCTCGGCCGATCTCAACTTCGCAATCCTTGTTCAATTATACTCAGTCCAAGGCCAGCAGTTCATTGTCAGATGTGCTTCATCATCCTGAAGCATGTTCATCATCCATACCAGAACACCGCGAGACACTTGCCTTACCGCGAAGTGTATCCACATCATCTGTACCCAAATTATCTGAGACTACACGATTGTTCTCTCCGCAATCATTGATTGAGGACTTTGGCAAGACTGAATCTTCACCCGCTTTAGCTTCACATTTGCGACGTGATTCGGAAACATCAAATGCGTCTATAACTCTCTCGAGTGCTAGTGTGTTGTCTACCTTACTTACACCTATCCAGGGTAATCTGAGCAGGTCTCGACAGGAACGATTTCCTTCAATGGTCTTGGAAGCCGAAACTGAACCGATCTTTGTCACATCACCTCCGGCCATCCATACTTCTCAATCCACAGCTCCTACCTCATTTGGTTCTTCATTATCGAATGCACAAAGCATTGTAGATCAATATGAAGCACATGGGCCAGAGCAATTACGAAAGATTATTGACTCCTTCAAAGCACAAGATCATCGTGAAAGACGCGTTTCGACGTGTACCAGTCGATGTGAATCTTGTAGTTCTGTGCTTCCTGGTGACTTGAAACGGTACAGTATAGGTGCTACTTGGACTGCAAGTGATTCTCCAAAACTATGCTCCTGTCCAATTAACATTCGTCCTCGGATACCGATCAGCACAAGAACAAAGAGAACTATTCCCACATGTAAGCTAAAGTCTTTTACCTCAAGTGTCTTCTGTTGAATGTTTTTCTGACTTTTACTTTTTTTTAGTATCCACACGTAAGACAACACAGGCAGTGAAACGGATTGGAGTAGCAGAAGAAGATTCGTCAGAAGAAGATTCAGATCCGCTCTTAGCACTAAGTGAGATGATGCGTAGTAAGAATGGAATGATTAGAGCACAAGCCGAAACGATCAAAGCACAAGCCGAATTATTAGTAGAAAGTGAGAACCGATTAGCAGCACAAACGGCTCATAGTCGTACAGAAGAATTAGATGAATATTTCATACCATTATTGAAATCGATTGAAAGTTTGAACAAAGAGAATCGAAAGAGAATTGAAAATGAATTGATCAGATTAAGATTTACATGGGAAATGGAAAGGAAAGATTATGAAGAAGAGAAAGTGAAGATTAAAGAGAAGTTATTGAACACTTTACAAGATTATGAAAAGGTTTGTGATCAACTTTCGGTGATTAGAAGAGCTATTGGAGAAGAACCAAATCATAGTCATGACAATGGGAATGGACAATCTTCTTCTTCTTCATCTTCGTTATAATCAAATTAAATGGTTTTGCATAACTTTGGGTTTTTTTTTGCAAGATTAGGGGTTTTTTGTATTGTGGAACTTGAAGAATGGTGTATTGTTTAGTGTCAACTGTCTCTTTTGTTAAGTTTGGTTTTTCGGTTCTTTCTTTTATTACTGGGTCTTATTTTTTTTTTGGACGGTTCTATTGAATTAGTTATTTATGGTTTGGTTTTATATAGATTTTGGATTGGGGTTTTGATTTCTTTAGGATGATTTTGGGTTTTGAAAAACAAAAGGATGATGTGTTGGAATATAGTGTTGTGTGATTGTGTGTTAATGTGATTGTTGAGAGAGAAAGGATATGTTTCATTTATATTATAAGCTTCGTTCTTTTTTTTTTGAATCAATGTTTTATTTTGTTGGGTGTTTTTGCAAACTTTTTCGTTTTGTGTTTGTGTGTGTTTGATTGATTGATTGAATTCGTTGTGAAGTTGGATAATGGGTGGTGTTGGGATTTGAAATTGTATGGGATTTCTTTTTTTGGATTCGATTTCTTTAGTCTTTGATAGTTATATTACATTAGAATCAACAGATAACTATTGAGATTTGTTTCATTTTGTTGGCAAACCAAAAAAATGTGTAACAACGGGGGTTCAGGAAGAGTGGAATCTGATTTATATGGGGATGAGAGATTTTTTCACCAAGTCATTTGTCTTAGAGCAAAAGCTCAGTATCTGGGATCCAACCGTGGAAGGATGTGGTAGGAGCTGGGAGCTGGAGCTCGAGAGGTTATATACAAGGTCAACATCTACTGTGCCGTATTCGTGTACTTATGTCTGGCCAGGCTTCTAGCCATTTAACAATACCATCAAAAGATATATTCTTGATTTGATCAAGCTTTTTAGGTTTGACATCAAACAATGTAAAACCTTTCTTTCTTCTTACTTGATGATCTTTTTGAACATTTGCTGATTAATTATACATACAACAATTATGCTTCAGGCTATTGCAAACAAAACAATGTGTGTTTCACCCAAGTTCAGGAAGCAAAAGTTTTGTGTGAATGGATCAGGCAAACTTGTTCTTTCCTATAACAATCTGATATTTGCTTTGTAAGACTGATATCATTGCATCTCCTGTATGTCAATTTTTTCTTGATCTCTTTTATGAAATTTGATTATTTTGTTAAATTTTACTTGTGGGGTTGATCATGGAAGGCTATGAAGCTCACACCTGGTCCCAACCTAGTGCTTAAGATTTTATGTCACATCAAATTGTTGCTTACGGCTCTGTGACCAATGATAACCTCAATGTGTGTGTTTTTGCCCCTTTTTGCTGTTGTATTTATTGGATTTCAAGTTTCCTTGTTAGTTATTGCTCTTACTAATCAGCAGGGTCAGCAAGAACTGAGATATGTCTCATTAATGAGTTGCTTTAAACTCCTAGACCAATGCTGATCGCAATATATATATGTATGTTCCCTTTTTGTATATTTCTATCAAAGACCGTTCTTTGTGTTAGTTTTTGTTCCCACTGATTAACAAGGTGACAACACACCCAGCACATTTGGCTTGGAGGCAAAAATCTGAGGAGTCCTTGGATCTTGACTCTGAGGGGAGCTTCATCCCAAGGAATCTGATCTGAGGCAATGGCAAGGGCCAAAATGTGCCTTGGAGGTATCCGTTGGGTGCCCTTTTTCTTGGGGGTGCCATCCAAGGACTCCTTGAATGTTTGTCTCCTTGGATGAACTATATGTGGGTGGTGCAAAACACCAGAATTTGTATTGGTCTTGATTTCTTATCAAAAACTACATTGTACATGAAGATATTTTTCTTCAGTGTGAAAGTAAACAAAATTTGAAATGTCAAAAACTAATCTTGTCAATACAAGTTTGGATTTCTATCAATGTCAGGATTCCACAACTGCCCTTGGTCCTGGAGTCCAAATTGGATCTGGAGAAGCCTTTTCCCCAAAATACCCAATTTCATGTGTTTAGGCACTACCCATCATAAACTTCAAAAAGAAAGGGAATGGATTCAACCTTGAGACATACTTTGTTTTTCTTTCCTTCCATTTGAAAGGTTTCAGTGTCATCAGATCAGTGTAAATATCTCAAATCCAGCCAGGACGTTTACAGCTATTCAAGAAATTTGTGTCCAGCTTGAAAAAAATTCTTATGCAGTCATTTGGGCTTCAAAAGTGTACATTCTATGTTTTTACACACACTTTGAGATTGATGTGTGTGGGCTTACATGTGTGAGGTATGGGATTGAGCAAGTGCGGGAATTTGGAGCCCAACTTTTTGTTGCCAAATTTGTAGCCCAAAGCTCAAAATTTGAAGCCGGCTGCAAAAAAATTTGGCAATGGGGACCGCCATTGCACCAAAAAATCGGGGCTCAGTCACCAAAGTTGGCAATAGCCCTGATTTGGAGCCCACCACTGTGGATGCTCTGATTCACTCACCCTTGAGCTACATTACATCCAATACAGGCCTGTATTAGAAGCTTCTTGTCAAGTTAGGAGCATCCTTCAGATGTTACATGACTGTATTTGGTCTAATTTGATGTGAACCTTCAAGAAAAACAAAATTAAAAAACTGAGGAAGGTCATTAATTTCTTGATTAGCTTCAATTTTACACTCAAAGTTTTACACAAAGGTGGTGTAAAACTATGTACCTGGTTAAATGGTAAGTTTTGCACCAAATGCCTTTTTACACAGGACATGGCCCAGTGGTGAACTTTACACTGGGTACTTTACACCTATCAAGTCAGTGTAGATAGTCCCAGTGTAAACCTTGGGGGTGATATTTTGAATTTAACACCAAAAGGGGTTAAACATAAACCAAATGGATTGCCCATATATCTACATATCCCAATTTCTATATTGGTTTACAGAAGGTCAAATATATGAAATACATCATATGACTTTATCTGATTGTATGTCATTGCATCCTTTACCTGATCCAAAGATTATTGCCACATATGTGGGTGTAGAGGAAAGGAAGAAACAACTCTAACACAACAGTGATCAGATTGCTGTTTCTCTCTCCCTCTGAATTCAATCAAATCTGCAAGTAACCTCTCAGGGTTGTTGGAATGTTCTCACTTGTTAGAATGGGTCATGGCCCATCATGCTCTGCTGGAGTCACTTCAGAACCACAACCAGGATTATGCCCAATTGATCCTCTGCACCTGACTTATCTTTCCAGTAATTTCAGAGGATGTGTTCCTATCCCATTATTAATCTCCTTCAGAAAACATTACATCTGTTTCTTGGCATTCTGTCTCCTTACACCCTGGTTTATCTTTATCTTGTCTTATTCCACCTGAAATACCCAAAAAGAGCCAATGGCACCCTGTGAAACAAAGAATCAATGCCTGTGGCTTTTTCACGGGGGGTGTCAACATTGGCCTTTCAACCACAAAAGAAGTCAAATTGAAACTTCTATTTGTGCATGGATTAAGAAGTCTCCAACACAACATCTGAAGATATCTTTTTGATCCCAAGTGAGATGATGCCATTTGGAGGTGGCTTTCCTGCTCTCAAAGAAACTGATCCTGAAAATACTCTGTCTCCAACTGATCACAAGGGGACACCACTGGCACCACCACATCCTATGGAATTGGAATCAATATCTGACACTGCTGATAGGATAGTTGATCCTCCCATCAAGATTGAAATGACATTAATTAATTCACTAAATAAATATGATAAACCTTGCAAGTTCAAACACCTTATCAGTTCTCAACCACATTGATATACATTTTGCCATTTTTATGCGTTTTTGCATTGTTTCAGCAGCAGAAGAAGAAAATCATAAGACTTCTGCAAAACAAATTAAGACCTTGTTTAAATCTTGTAAGTCTAACATCTTGAAATTGATCTCTATGTTGATATAAATTTGACATTTTTTATCCCAACAGCCTTCAAAGAAAAGTGCAAGGTTGCAGCATCAGAAAATGCATATTTCAAGAAGGCTAACACTGGATAGTGCTCATCTTTAAGGTTGTCTTCATTAATTTGTTCTTCACTCCAAGTGTATGGTTGGTAGTGCCGAGAAGCGTCAAAGGTCGGACCAGCGGGTATTACTCTGCCAACTTGAGGCTGAGCCACAAAACTCACTGAATTTGGGAGCCAAGGATACTGTTGGACTCCTGACATTGATGGCAATCCAGATATGCCGTTGGAAATTCAATATTTGAGCTTCTTGTTTTAGTTGGTTTCTACAACATAACTAAGTCTTGTCTTGAAGTGTAGTTTTTGATAGATATCTGGTCCGAGATTTGACGCTTCTTGGCACTAGCAACCATAAAGGCTGTTGGTGCAAAAATCACTCTGTGTAAAGGCCTTCTGTGCAAAAGTCAACATTGAGCTGGGTACATTTTGCATCAAAATATTTCACACCAACTTATTCTGTGTAAAACTTTCAGTGTAAGATTGAAATTTCCTGGCCAGATTTGATATCTATACACTGATTTAATTACACTGAAAGTGTTTCACACAGAATAAAAAAATATGTGTCATATTTGAATTTATCACCTTCCTTTTAGAATTCTCTACCAAGTTTATTTTACACCAGATGACTCTGTGTATATCACTCGGTGTAAAATTGCCCATTCTCATTTATAACAGATAAGGCTAGTTGACAGAGGATGAAAGTGCAAGTGTATAACAGAATTATTTGCTTTTGTCAAGCAACTTAACACTTGAATAAATACCCTTGCGTGACCGTGTCTGTCCCCTTGAAGTTGGTCCCAATCAAGCTTATGCTTCTGTGGACTCAACCAACACAAGAAGGGACTGAAATTTTTATTGAATAAAGATAACTTTAGCAAAAGACTAAATCACAAGTGTAATGCTAAAATTTATCTACACACACTACAAGAAGGAAATTCTCCAAGATATGTGATCTTCAGTTCCACAGTAGAGCATACATGACCAATCTATAGTCTTAGGATTGACAACTCCACTTGGCCCTTGCTGACACTTTTACAGCTGTTTCAACAAAGATTGATGTTTTTGAAAATCTTGCCAATGTGCAAAACCCAGGTTTTGTCCCTCACTTGATTTTGCCTCTCCGCTAATTGGAAGAATACAGAAAAGAATAAACCTGTAATCAAGTTTTGTCTGTGATTTTACCCGCTGCAGAGACAACTTTCTCCAAACAAAAGTTGTCAACCTTTCTTGAAACAGCTGTAATTGCTACTTGTCCTTGGCTCAAGGTGAAGATTTTACACCATTATCACAGGGAACAAAAGTGTGTTAGTTTTGTTACTCTGCAATCCAACATAATTCAGGTCACAAGAGCTAGGAAATTTTATGTTATACACATCATTTCAAATCAATAGGAAGTGACACAATGTTTGTATAATTGTGGTTTCCTCACACAATGTTGGATTGAATTGCCACCTTGTGTGGTGATTTAATCCTGGACATGCCCAGTTAGGGACACCATGTTTGTATAATTGTGGTTTCCTCACACAACATTGGATTGAATTGCCACCTTGTGTGGTAGTTTAATCCTTGACATGCCCAATTAGGTATTGGTCTTAATCTGCTTGAGTTAATTAAATACCCTTCCATCAAAAACTCAACTATGAGTTTGATTATTTTATGTTGTAATCATTGAAGCTTTTCCTTCAGAAACATTCAAAAACCTTGTATCACTATATAACATGATATGTACTCACTTAGAGCACCTCCATCATGGGTGGGCACCTGTTGGACCTTTGATAGGGTAAAATTGTATGTGATGTCTCATCAAACTAGGGTTATCAAAATTGATCAACACCACTTTCTTGAGTATACAGCCATTTCAATAAAGACTGACAACTTTTTCTTGAAGAAAGTCATCTCCAGAGTGGGTCAAAACTGAGGAAAAACTTGATTACAGGTTTAATCTGTTCTGTATTCTTTCAATTAGCGGAGAGACAAAACCAAGTGAGAGAAAAAAACCAGGTTTTGCACATTGACAAGATTTTCAAAAGAATTAATCTTTGTTGAAATAGCTGTACCTTCTTCTCTCACTCAACCCCATTATGGAAAACATGTAGCAAGATTGATCGTGCGGTCTGGAACTAAAAAATACTGCTGCTTTTCTTTGCTTTATAGTGGTTTGGGTTTTCTCATAAGGGGGTGTCAAGTTGGCTAAAACGTCATATAATCATTATTTTGGCCTCAAAGTTCTACAAAATTGAAGGGTTTGAGAAAAGCTCATACCCAGCATGTGCTTCTCATGTGGGACTTTGTCAAGGCATTTCATGCAGACTGTAGCTGTAGACGCCGTCATATTTTACTGCTGTTTTTGTAACTTGCCGCCCCGTGTAAATTAACCAAATTTCCTGCTCATAAAAATCTGGGTTAACTTGTCGTCGAAGAACTCCCAGATTTCTTTCTTACGGTCGAAGCAGCAAAATTGCTTGACCTGAGCCCCCTACTAAAAAATTTCCTAGCTCTCGTGACATGACTTGTGTCGAATCGCAGATTTCCAAAACCAACACAGCTTTCTTCCCTGTGTATAGAGTGAAATGAATGGAAGAAGACTCGGCGGAATGCAAAAATGAAATCGAATTAAAGAATATCATCAAGAGGAGATCCGAGGTGGATCCATTATCATACAGCAAAGCAGACCAAGGAATTACTACATAACATAGAAGTAATTTTGACTTTAGGTTCGAGACTTCAATAATAGAATTCAAGGTTACGTTGTCATTCAAGATTCCATCCCTGGTCACTCCACTTCACTGCTAACTAAAATACGTCCAACGGCATAAAATGGTGATGCACCTGTGACTCGGCTTTGAAGGACATCGACGGTTTTCTTGCACAAAGGGATTTGAATTTCTTTCCGTTAAGCGTTACGAAAGACTCAATCAGTCTGAAATTCTTGTAATCCCAAGCCTGAACCAGGTCTTTATAAAAAAGATGATAATTTTTTTCATTCATTACGGGTGAGCTTCAATCGGGTGTAAGAAATGCCCATATAAGTCCGTTTATATTAGCTTTTCATTAAACTGCCAATCAAGCATTTCTTCTCTTTAAAAAATCCCAAGAAGGTTATTTTCAACTTCGTATTGATGAAATGAAAATCTGATCCGTTACCTTTTTGATAACATTTTCTCTGATTTTTCTTTTTTTGATTATTACTTCATAATACGATTAAATGAATTGAGACAACTCTTCTTGAAGACTCAATAGGCTAATCTTACTTAGAAGTTGAACACTCGAGTGGTCAACTGGGATTACAAATCATATATCAGCTGAGCTTTGGTCAATCTCAAAGACCTTCAAAGCATCAATCCTCAACCTGCACCTTCCTCCCACTTTTTTTTGATTGATCTCGTGCTTTGTTCAACTTTTTACTCACTTACCTCTTCTCAGTCTCCCAGTCTCTTAGACCTCCGCTCTGCCTCTCCCCCGCATCGCGCTCAATCCTTCCTCTTTCACAATTTTTTTCAACATTAGCCGTGACCTTTTCTGAATCTCAATCCGTGCGGTCTCTATTTCGCCTTTCGCTCTCTAAGAAATTTCCCCCTTTTCTGACAAATAAGGCTACCCTTCAATGCGATTATCCGAAGCAGACGCGCCTTTAGAAGTTAAAGCGGCCCGTCCGTTTGCTTGCACCTATGATGCTTGTCAAAAGTCCTTTTCGCGTAGATCTGACCTTGTTCGCCATGTCCGAATTCATACCAATGAACGGTTGGTGATTTTCTTCTTACCAAGTTTCATCATCTTGGGTCTGGCTTCCTGATATGAGATTGTTTACTGTCTCACAGTCCGTTCAAATGTGATTTTTTATCCTGCGGGAAATGTTTCATTCAAAGGTTTGCGCTTCTACTCTTTGTCATCAGTATCAAACGAGGCGCCCGTAAGACGTGCTGAAAGGATCGTGTTTCTATGCTCTCTTCAGATCTGCTTTGACGGTGCACATGCGTACTCAGTGAGTTTATTGTTTTGGTGAATTGCTCAATTGTAGATTATTAAACTTCTTCTTTATTTGGTCCATCAGTACCGGCGAAAGACCTCATGTCTGCGAGCTCTGTGGTAGAGCTTTCAGCGATTCCAGCTCTCTAGCCCGTCACCGGAGAGTGCATACTGGCAAGAGACCTTATCGTTGTCCTTTTAACGGGTGCGACAAGACGTGAGTGAATTTATTCCATGGGTGTACCAATCGCAGCACCTATACCAAATTCTCACGCCCACTGCCTCATCAGTTTTTGCCGCAAGACGACGTTGATAAAGCACCACAAGGGTCATACCGAAGATGGTCTTTTATTGAATAGTCCCGATTATTCATCAAAGTCAAGTCCTACAGGCGACTCCACAAGTGCTTCATCATCATCCACAATGACGCCCTTGTCTACCAATTTTTCTTTCGCTACTTATTCAAGTCATCCGGAACAAATTTATTCAGCACCAGCTTCTTCTCAATATTTCAACATTCCTGCACTTCATCATAGTCAAGACAGTAACTTTTCATGGGGTAATCCTAGCAATCAATTTTCACCTTCACCTAGTTTTCCAAGACCTAATAATACCACCTCAGGTTGGTCATCTAGAGCGCCGCTTTCGGAATTCCCAATGACTTCAATCTCACCAGAATATAATCGATTTCCTCGGGAAACAGCTTTCAATAATCCTCCTCATTCTACCGACGCGACGTCTAGCTCCCGGTCATTCTCTGTTTCTCAAGGTTATGGCTCCAACCCACAGGACAACATCCTTCCTGATATCAAGCCATCATTTCCATTCCCACCTACCACCTTACATCAAAGTGCTCCTACTGTCTATCACGATACAAATCCCTACACGAGTTCTTTTGCAAATACAGTAGTAAAGGAAGTCCCTAATGAACCGAGTTATTCTTCGGGAACGCACATGCTCGATGTCGGGCGACACACGAATGTCGCTGATTTTAATAACAGAGAAATGTTACCACCTCTTGGTAACATACCAATCCAACCCTTATCTTTACCAAGAATGAGTAATATCGATTTATCATCTAGTAAATTGAATGGAATTGGATCTTATTGGAAATCCGAATCTACATGGGAAGGTTGAAGCTTGGTATTTATTTGCAAATTGTAGTTTTCTAACTTTGCATACATTTTTTTTCTTAAACTTGTATACACATCTTTATTTTTTCTGATAAAGACATTTAGAAGATGTTTGTTTTTTTATGTTTGATTTTTCTCTCGGTATATTTTCCTTTTAGTTTTTGATTTTCTTGTACATCATCTATATAAAATTTGTATCTTTGGTTTATGTTATCCTTTTCGAGTTTTTCATCGTCTTTTCTATTTACATTTTATTTTATTTGCAAATTTTTGTGTTGGATGTCGAGTTTATCTGTAAAGGTTTTTCAATCTTTTAGACAAGAAGTTGTAATTTGTTTTGCTTAATTACTACTTATTGAATCATTTTGCAGGGAATCTGTTGTTTCCTTATCAATTCCTGTACCCCTTCCTCTTCAAAAGAGTCTTTCTTTAATTCTAGTTTATTTGCAGCAACCTCATGAGAAAACTTCATAATTAGCTTGCTCACATGCAAAATCAGAGTCGCACAACAACTTCCAATTCATTCACAAAGTATTATTACAACTATCGTCATTCTATCTACGTGGCAAAAAAATTGTCTCACCGAACCGCTCTGCAATAAGCTTGCAAAGTTATAATGCAGTGTAACTTCAGTCCTATTCTAGCTTGAATCCGCTTTACCCTCGGGATTGTGTTCTGGTATTGATTTTCCATGTCTGCTGTATATAGATAACTTGACCCTTGGCGCCTCGAAGGATTGATGAGAAAACGTCCTGCTTTCAATTGTCGAACGGTCATGAAAACCAAGATGTAAGGGATGCAAGATTCCGATTTTTCTTTTGTGCGATATTGTCCTACACCATCACTCACAATTCCAACAACGCGTGGAAAAAAAGTAAACGAATAAGTTTAGTAGACAAAAGCAAGAGACCACCAAAACAGAAAGCTGGTCGTAGGACCTTTTGGGCTGATGTCTCACTCTTTCGGATTTATGTTGTCCGGTCGTTACTGGGGTTGTGCCATCAGTGGCAAAATCAATGACTTGATCATGTATTATGACCGAGGGTTTGAAAATTGAATGTGTGATTGGATTTGTATCACTGCCAGAATGAACTGTCAGGCACCTGATCATAGTTGCAGTCAAGAGATTGACCAGAAAAACAGGAAGATTTTACAACACTTTTGGTTCCATCACTTCAAAAAGGACTAAAAAAGATCACAAAGCACATTGCCACAAAATTAACAAGTCCCATATGGAGCAAACGACACGTGTAAGTTTGCGTATGTATGGCAGAGTATATACATGCCAGGAATATGTCATGATAACACGTTATAAAGAAAAGCATATTTCAAGCAACAAGATACATTCGTCAGTATGTATACATATATCAGGCAGAGAATTGCGAGCATAGGGTCGTCAGTAGGAGCAATACAATAACAGGCCAGCCAAGATTTTCCTCCAACAGAGCATCTTAAAATGAATCATGACGGAGTGGGCCTCAGTTAGCAAACGATGGGGTGACATGAATCAAAAAATCAACAGGCTCAATCAACCCCAAATGGCCTTCTCGAGATCCAATCGTATATTAGCAAATTCACATAACATATCATGCTCCATCAAACCTACAGCAAAAAGCACTCATTTCAGCGGCAGATCACTATGGTCGATCAACTCTTCAACGAGCAAAGTACAAGACTTACCAAGCTCAGTGATGTAGCCCGTGACGTGCTCATGCCCAACATCTTCATACAATGGGTTGCTGATTGTGACATGACCCGCTGAGACCAGGTGATCTACTTCCTCACTTCCAGCAGTCACTTTCCAAGCTTCTATCAATTCATTTGACGAATTAGAAGGTTTTCCAGGTGGTGGAAGATCTTTGGAGTGCACTCGATCTGCTCTTGATAAGATAAGTACTGCTCCTCCACTCAATTTACCGGCCCAAGCCATCTGCGTAAAACGCCCATCCGGAAAGTGAAGTACCTTCATTGAGCCAGATATCCAAGTTGATGTAGAAAGGAATTACTATCTTACTTGAGCTGATCCGACTTTATTCACGACATCCCCATTTGACAAGCTATGTTCCACGTTCGCGCAACATAAGAGAGAACCATCAACAACTATGACCAAGTTTGTAAATCTAAGGTAAAGTGATCTCACATTCGATCTCCACTTAACAGAATTAGGGGCTTCACTCCCGATGCGCCTGAAGCCATCACGTTACTCACTACTGCTGCGTCAGTGATCAACTCGATCGTCACTTTCGGTTCCTTTTTCTCCTTCTTAGCGTCCATACTACAAAATCAAAAATTCGAATCAGACTGGCAAGGAAAATCAAGTAGAGATATTTTGATACTGACTCAGCAAGTAAGTGAGCAAGACCAAGAGATTGAGCCTGCTTGCCAGGACTAAGTGCTGAAAGACCACCTCGATGATCTGTTTCCATCATTATTTGTCTCATCCTAGCCTGAATGTCACTACTCAACGCAGAGGCTCCCAAATCGGCAATCGAGGGTACTCCAGTGGATGCTCTTTTGTTGGATTTTGAGCTCTTCTCACGATATTCGGTGAATGAATCGACCAATTGACTTAGACGGATAGCAACCGCCACGCCCTCACACAATGGACGGGACTCAGCTATGGTCACTCGTAGGTCCATCACATGACGGTTGGCGGATGTGTTTCCTCCACCAGGTGAATTTGGTTTCCGAGAAAGGACATGTGTAACTACAAAGAAGATGATTCGAACATGTCAGTTATCCAGATAAAGAACCCTTGAAGGTTACAGGACCCAAGACCCTACGGGTGACCAGGAATCAAAGTCCAGTATCTGAAGGCTCACTTAGCTTGGCAATCACATTATACACGATTGAAGAAGAGCTCGTAGTTATGATATGCATCTTCTGCAGAAGTTCTGACCCAGGGGCGACATCCGGTGCCAATGCTCTATTATAAAGAATTTCCGATACTCCTTCACGCATTAAGATTCGAGCGGCATTGCGAGAGCGATCAGCCTCAGTGGCGATGGCATTCACGAGTAATTTTTCGAGCTAAGAAAACGTCTCATATAAATCAGCGAACAAACCAAGCACCTAGACGACTTTAGTGAGGACGCACATCTGTAATTGTCACTTTCATGTCGTCAAGGCTAGGTTTTACTGCAGTGAGTGCTTTGAGTAAAGTGTATGAGATCGAGACTTGTGCATCAGCCCGAACGCGCGACAAATGCCATGCTGCAACCTGTCCAAGAGAAAGTATAATGAACGAGTCAGAAAAAACGGTAGACACAATACCTCTTTTATCTCACCTGTGTCCAGTATGCCCATACTCGACGCTTGGCACAGATTTCAAGTTCTTGTTGTCCGTTGGGAGGGGGAGGGATAGGGTAGTAACGAAAGCCCTGAAGGTGAAAATGGATAGGTCGTGTCAGTTGTGGCCTGTTGATGATGAACGTCATCACGACTGACCGTGCGAGCGTATCCAGCTTGCACACAAAAATACAAGACATCTAAGGCTCTAAATCGAGAACATAGATGAGTGCAATGAACATTAAGACTTATCTAGAGATTGACATACTTCTGGGAGAGATCTTCAGCTCGTGAAGTCATATCGGCAAAAATGTCGTCGATTCCGAGGCTTAAAGCTTGAGGAAAGCAAACAGCACTTTGAAAGAGTAATGAGCCAAAGAGCTTACGCACTTGGTATCAAAAGCTGAATGCTTACATCATAGCCGTAGATACTATTTCACTGTGTATAATTGTACTGGATCAACTAGGAGGCCGAATTCCGAATGTTGATGGAATCTTGCTTACCTCTCTATACCATGTTGAAAACCTCTATTTCTCAATCATTTGATCAGTATCTTCAAGTAGGATCATTAAATAATGGTCGCCTGATTGACTCACTTGATCGCCGTCCAGTAATGCAAGTCTTGACCCAAGCGGTCCTCTAAATCCTTAGACGCTTCAGAATCGAGATTCTCTTTATCGCTTTGAAGTCTGAGGGTTGATGAAGTACAAATCTCAACATGCATAGCACTGAGATATTATATAGATCGAATCACACATACCGATATAAGAAAGATTCTAAGACAGTTGTACTGTCCCATCTGAGTGGCTTGCTTCTTCGGATTAGTCTCAGATCTTTGTCAATGTCAAGCGTAGGGATCAAACCCGTGATAGATTGGCGGGAAAGTTGCTCCGGTGTTGCGATCACCTCATTGGAGTCAAGGGGAACCAGCGGAGATGCCTCTAGCGCCAAGAATGACCAAGGCGCTCTCAGACTACGAGTGTAAGAAGACGAGATCAGCTTTCGCACCGAAAAGTCGCAAGAGAGGCGCTAACACAGGGAACTAACTCTTGTTGGTGTTGGTATGGGGTGGGGTCCTTGCGACGTGCTTTGAAGAAAAGTATCTCGTCCCTATCAATGATTGCACCGGGCGGATTTTCAGGTTTTGTTCAAGTAGACCCAGTTCACTATTGAGCTGCTAAAGAGTATCAGCGAAATGTACCCACCCTTGACCGTGGGGATGATCGGTCGGACCTCTGGTGATAAATGAGATGACGAGCGTAGAGGTCTCAATGGCATGATCAGCCATAGATTTTTCTGGATCTCCCTCCAGAATCTCTTCACGCCAGCGCAGTCGGCTTTGGCGCTGATCAAGGTTTTGACTAAAGTGCTCGAGTTGAGCGTAAGGTCTGCGAGCAGTGATATGATCGGCACCGGGAGGATAAGAATACCAACTCCCGGGAGGAAATGCACCCGTCCGGGCAGCTGCATGACCCCAACCAGGCTCATCGAGTTGGAAGTCGCGAGGAAGAGCGGCCCATGGGGTTGGATGGGCTGAGGGAAGGTATGCTAGTTCATCCTCAGGGTAATTTGAGGCGGGATGGTTGCCAAAAGGGGTATGATGGGGATCATCCGTAACGGCCGGCCAATGAGGCTGTGCACCTTCCGGAGCGGAAGGATGAGACGGATGAGCGAAAGCGGGTGTTGGCCAGGCAGAGAGCGTATCATGCGGAGGTCGAGCTGAAGGGGGATGAGGTCGTGGTCGACCATAGTAGGCGCTGGGCGGATAATGGCCGGGACCATAAGGAGGAAATCTGCCGTAACTCATGCTTGAGAGGCCAGCTAGACTCGAAGCGGTAAGCTATTGAGGGTGAGAGCTGGTACGAGGTATATTGGACGAAGCGATACCAAGAAGATATATGTAAACGTGAACCAGAAACGATGAGAACAAGAAAGATCAAGGCAAAGATGAATTTGATCGGGATGAAATTGAGTTTGAAAGGAACTTGAAGCTGAAATCGAGAGGCTGAAAGAACAAATGTGAAAATACAGTTTATATGTAGTTTTAAGCTGTACACCTGCATCGTTGCATATATTTGTACAAATCTCTCCTATTCGATTTCAACCCTTTCACCTAGCCCAGCCTAGCCCAAACTCAATTCAGAGCATAGCAATTTAACAATTTCACCCTCGGAGTCATGATCGCGCTTAGATTCCAAATTCCGGGAGATCAATAGAAGTCGGGATATTCCTTTGTTCTTTAGCTTACAGGGACTCCTTTTGATGCTCAAAGCTGCTATATCTCAACCTCAGAACAATCTGAACTGCAAGAGCACATAGATACGTCTCATTGTGGTAGAATTATTTTAGCCACTTTCCATACGTGAATCAACGAGGTGGTCCTTGCTCATATTATTTATCAGGAATCTTGTAATGAATACTGAATATGAATAGTTTGGATCATGATTTACTTTGTGAGCAAAGCTGAGTGAGTACAACTATGCTCCCATATATACACCATAAACATGTTCTTCTTCACTGTGATCTAAAGAGAATTGGCCTTAGACAGCCGATATGGAAGTGTGCAACTGTATCAGTCAAGTGTACGTATTGCAGTTTCCTTGCAGATGCAAACTTCTCCAAGTAGTCCGCCGTACTGAGGACCAGGGAATGGTTTATGGGTGATTGAAGTCTACATTAACAAGTTGTTTGTATCAAATAATAAATGACACGGCTGACAACATCTCGCGCCTCATCTAAAATAGTGAGCGACACAATGGACATGAGGATCCATGGCTGGTAGCAAACCACTAGGCACATCAAAAGACGTATCAGCAATCATTCAAAGATAATAGCAACCCTATCTTTCAGTTTCGAGTAAAAAAACTTACCTTGAAGATACAACTTGGATGGAACCTGTTATGACACGTCCGGCATGCTTTGGACGGCAGACTCCGATCGACCACTGAAATAATTGAGTAGCAAACTAGCACACAAATATACAAATTCAGATACAGAGATCAGAGGAGATCAGTTTGCGTAAGATGCAAGACAGTCAAAGACCAATACTCACTTGCGCAAGCTTCAACACCTTCGAAGTGAAGTGAAACATTCTTCTTGAACAGAGCGAGCGCTTCTGTAATTGACCCATTCTAAAAATGAACATTTTCTCATTAGTTCCAGGGACGTAATAGGAGCAAGTCATATACATACCTGACTAGCAATAGTATGTTGAATTGATAAAATCCAAGCCCGCCACATCGCGTCTGGTACTCCAACTTTTCTAATGTCTAGAACCTCAACTGACTGTAATGGATACTGTGAAGGGATTTTCACTACAATCTCCATCGATTCTTCATCAACCATGTATAATACCTTTACTTCGTTCGCCATTGTATTGACTTTGAGGGTCATCTGTTCATCTTCTAATTCCATTCCCGATGCTTGCTCTTTCACCTTCCTCAACTCACGTCCAATTAGCAACGGCGAGAAGTGTCGAGTAAAGAAGCTTGCGACACTCAGCGAAAGTTGTTTATTTCGACATTCTTCCCACCAAGTTCGGATATGAGCCGGGACAACGTGTAAGGCAGTGCAATAGACAAACGCTGCCAAGGCGACGGGTTCGGAATTGGATTCATCGATGACTTTGATCACAAACCCCAGCACAAGCTTAGTTGGTCATGGCGAAATATAATATATTGAGATTGAGAATAAGAGATTCAAGGTACGCACACGACGTGTTGAATTCTGAAATATCCCATATCGAAATGTCGCGAGCTTTGCCACGATCCGAAATACGCAGAATGCGATGTAGAAGTGGTACCAGCCTCCGGGGTATCAGTCCCAAATCTCGAAGCTGAGTGTTGTAGGCGTTTCTTAGTCGTAAAGACTATGATGTAATTCGACACGGATGATGAGTCACAATTGCCTTCAAGCTACTGACAAAAGCTAAAGAGGCGTACAGCATTCTCAAAATAAGTGAACAACAGAAGCCAGCCCAGCAAGTGTGCAACTAGGTCATAGTCTGCCTCCCTATCCAGCAAGCTCAAAAGAATCTCCGGAATAGTGTGATGGTTCATCGGCGACTCCGGAGTCAGCTCGGCTTCAATCGAAAGAGAGTCTATATCTCGCTGCACGACCTTTCGGGCTAATGTGTATGCCAAAGTAGAGCTCGTGACCGACCGACTAAAAATAGACTGGACAAGCTAGATATATCAAGGCAACATGGGTCAGCAAGTATCTTGCCCATGGGGGCAAGATTTCACCCACCTTTTCTACCGATTGATCAAGTGAATCACTGGGTGTCGCAGGATCGATCAAGATATCCTCAATAGCCAGTGAGAGAGACTCGATCGGTCGATTGATCTTTATGTCGACTGTGATCGGACAACCAAGGCAAGATCCAAAAGACTATGTGGTCAACAAACATCCCCTAGCAAATCAATTCCATAGTACCTTACCCGGACGCGATACAAACAAACTATAAACAAGAGTGTAGCACTCTTTCAAAGACGTGCTGACGGCCGTTTTGAGAGTTTCGTTGCGCTTTGACAAGTCTTGTATAGCTTTGATCAAGAGGCATCCATGCCACACAGGAATCAAAGTTTTTTCCTCATCCCAGCAGCCTTCCTATTTCACACGGAAGCTACTATTCAGCAGGAAGATCCTACCAGAAACTACTAATCGAAGAACTTGCCTCGAGATTGATCGCAACCAAATCTAGAATAGAATGCCAGTGAGATCCTTGAACCGTCTGTATGATCGGGAGCAGAGAAGTGAATAACTCCAGCATGCGCGCGTTGAGCTCGAAGTCAATATCATCCGCATCTTTCAGCCAGCTTGTCAAAGTCTGTAATAAAAGGATACATCTTCTTTGAGGGAGAAATATGTGGGGCGAATCGATAGGAGGAGCCGTTGCATGAAGGAGCTTCACGAGACGTAGTCCCAAGGTATTAACTTTTGACACAGGTACATCGGTCAATCTACCTGCGGTTGTATTCTGATATTGCTGGAAAGCTTGGCTTGACATAAGATACGGTTTGATCGAATGTAAGATAGCGAGGGAGAGAGATGGAGCCGACTCTTCCACACTGCGAGCAAAGGATAGCCACTGCTCGAGATCATGCGGCTGGGAATTAGCGTGCTTAAAAATTAAGGTGAGAACTTTACGAAGACTCTGAGCAGCAATGATCTCAGTTCTGTTACGTTTAATAGCAAGAATCAAGTTACCAAGCAAAACAATCAACTGATCATTACCATCTCCAGTAGGACTCGTAGGATTCTTGAAGTGAGCGATGGCGGTGATATGCCACTGAGGAGTAAGAGTATGAGCAAGCGATGAAATCAAGTATGTGAGATTTATGTCTATCACAGATACGATAGCTTCCAACTCTTCCGAAGTCATACTGTCTTGATTGCTGGTATTAGATGTGCTCAGTTGCAGCGAGTTCGATGCCCATTGGCCAAGGTACATGCAATGTTCCCATAGCCAACATTGTGCTTGCGCCAAGATGCGATCCTGTGCCAATAGATTCAGCACCGCCAATAAGATTCGGTCGTATGAAACGGTAGAGCTGATGAGACAATCAGCGGGATCCGTCGCGAGAACACAACCCCGAGAGACGAGAGGGTCGTGTATCATGAGCAATGGAGGGTTGCTGCGAAATGGGACCATCTGGGTCAATGGAGAGTCTGAGCTGTTTCCGACTGGCAAACCGCTGAGGATAGTCGACGATGACAATGTGGGAGAATGATCGATCAAGCGTTTGGAAGCTTCGATCAAATCGAAAGGATGGATCCGACAATTTGAATCAACAATACATTTCTGAAGCAATTCGAGCAAAACCGCAAGGAAACTATCTGAGCTTGAAGCCAGAAAGATCTTCGACAGTGCGATGTAGACCGTCTGCGCAAGTTTTGCCAGTTCATAAGCGGCGGAACCGTGTAAGACGCCCCAAAAGTTTGCAACCATGTAAGTAGCGATGCCGATCTCTTTCGTAGTTTCAACTGGTAAAGTCTTGAGTGCGAGCTGCGGTTCATGCAATTCAGTAAAGTATGGTGCATAGGCCTGCATCATCAAGTGAAGATTTGTCAGATCAGGTGATAGCGCTCCTGAGAGATTTTTGGTCATTTGGGCACTTGATCCTGCACCCAGACGGTTTAAGACTTCAACCGCAGTGTCTGTCATGATTAAAGGTTGTGGATGAACTAAGACGGACTGAATAAAGGAAACAGTGGACGAATCGCCCTGAAGTAGTCGGGTCGTACATTCCAGCACAAAGTTATCCAACCCAGCAGGGGGGAGCTGAGTAGTTGATGGGCCATTTTTGATACGCTGGATTATTTGTAGTAAGTAAGGTAGATGATGCATTGTCAGGTGTGCCGAATATGATTTAACGACATGACCCCAGACCTGAGCGCCTAAACCAGATATTTGGCATGAAAGAGACGCGTAGAATAGGTCATGATGGGATGCTGATCCAGCCCAAAACTTTTGTGGTAGGACTTTACTGGTAAAGTCGGAGAAAGAGACTCGAATAGACTCGTCCATTGCTTGAAACAGCGTAGCTTCTTCAGATATACAGATAGTGATGATAGGTACCCATGAATCACCTGCGTCATCTTGTCCAGCCCCAGATAGAGAGACACCGGTGATAGCCCGGGAGAATAATTGTTTGCGAGCTTGGCACAGTTGATGACTTATTTGATCGTGTTGATGCATTGCATAAGCTTTGTTAAGAAATGTGAGACAACGTAGCAACTTCAATTCGTCCATCTCCGTGTTGGCTGTTTCGAAGATGACTGGCCAAACATATACATTCGCTATTGGTGATCTTTGAGCAACATGCGCGATCGCCACCATCAGAGCATCAAGCTCTTGAGGAAACTGAAAAACACCGCTCAAGAGCAGGTTCCACATCCGTCGGAAATGGATCTCTAGGCCAACCTCACGATCTGGAGACGATCGTTTATCAAAAAAGATCAAAGCATCAGCAGACGCGTTATGGAATGCTGAAAGACCCAAGACTCCTGTAGACCGTAGTAGGCGACTCGGGTAAGCACTCCAGAGGTGGGAAAAAAAGTCGCTCATGCTAGGAGATGAGGAAGGAGTAAACATCGAGGAGGGGAACGAGGTAAGAAGGACTACCAAGGCCGGATACAGTAAGATTGGATTGGTGGAGCAAGCTGATTCGAGATATGAAAAAAACACGTCCGAAATCTTCCTCTTCGCGCTAGTCGGATCTTCCTGCCCCGTCGTGTGGCTACTCTCTTCTGGCACAGGATCAAGATTATCTTCAGCTTTAGCCCAGAGATCGCTGCGACCGGATGTAAAGGAGGTGAGGCCGAGTATCATGGTCCCTTGTACACCGAAGTCCCTCTCACAAAGCGCGGAATGCAGTACGGGGTCGATCATGAATGGTATTGCGCTGTTTAGCAGGGCTGATTTGGGAAAGCAGGGGAAGTTATCAAGCTAGGGCATTCAAGAGTATAACTTCGAGGAAATCTCACGCTTTAAAACTTCTTTCCTAGATATTGTGTGCACCAGGTTCCAAAGAGCTTTCCGCACAGCTGGATCTTCCTTGTTGGAGGGCATAAGCATTTTCCATACCTCGGGCCGCCGCATGATCGATTCTTCTAGTGGCATAAACAGATCTTCCGGGTTGGGAAGAGTGCCGAGAAGATACACAAGCGCTTCCAATGCGGAAGCCCTTGTACGGTTGGTAGTGGCCTCAAGTGACTCGTCCAACACTGCCAATTTACGAGGGCAGCTCGATGGCGATACCAGCGGATCGACATTGGCCGGGATAGGTGAAATGATAAAAGTGATCAAATGGCGAAGTATCTCGGACGCGTACGGTTGCAGCGTGATTTTACCATTGTCCGGGCTATCACTGGAATTCACGTCAATAGTAGCACACCATGATTTTTCTGCAACCAGCCGGACTGCCTTGTCAGAATCGCACGTGCAAATCAACCAGGAGGCCAGGTATTCCGGTTGCTCCAGTTGAGACGGCGCCAATACATAGTCTCTACAATTCGGTTCCTCGAGTTGATCGTTCAGTAAGTCTCGATGCAGTGAAAGTAACAAATTCCTCACACGGCGAGAAGGGTGAAGGGCAAGCCGGGCAAAGTGGTGAGTTAATACTGGTATAGTTTCCAGAAGCTCATTGCGAGACATCAGATCATTCGACCCAAAGGCCGGCGAAGAGTTTGACTGTTGTTGCAGAACATCGCGGGTCCAACCTAGCCATTCTTCCAGACCTCGCTCGATCGTGACAGGGTCCTTTTTGCCCACCTTACGTAGCATGACTACACGTTCGGGCCCAACAGGACTTCCATAAAGGCCGAGTTTTAGGGTATCGACTGGATCGGGATCACCAGAATAGACAGGCGGTGGTACATATTGTTTGACTTTGGGTGCCTTCTTGTCTTTCTTGTCTGCTTTCGTTTTCCCGGTTGTCATTGGACTTGGGCCATCGTTGGTTTGACTCGGATTATCCTTTGCGGCAGCCTTACGAGCTTGTTTTTTCCGAGTAGCAGAGGAAGCTGATGAAGTACTTTTGGGTGCCATGTGAAGGGTGTTGGTGACGTCTGGTGCTTTTTGTACTTTCACCACAAACCTTGATTCATCACCATAAGTCTCGGTTTCAAAGTGTCCCGACTGCTCCAAACCCGGGATACTCCGAGTACTAACTAGCGGGTATCAGCTGGTATCAGGCATGACGCAATAATGGAAAACTCTCCTGACTTTTGATACGTCGATTGTTATGAGCAATTCTAGTGAGTATGGAGCCCTTGATGACACCCATGACCTGCTTTGGGATTCTTTTAGACCAATCTTTACAAACTTATCAGCCGCCCCTGGTGAGAAGACGCTAAACAATGGGTTTGATGATTTGTGAGCATATGATCAGCTTCGATGTCATTGTGGAGCATGTCACCAGATGCGGTTTGTCCTAACTTAACCAAATCCCTCTCGGACGAGCGACGGTTTGTCATAGTTTATATCTTCACAAAGCATTGGTATAGCAGACAACATGTCAATCTACATCAGGCTACTACAACAAACACTTGTCATCTGCCCTCAATTAGTCTAATTTTATACTGCATCGCGCTCAATTCCCAGACCTTTGACTACTTTCCAAGCTTCTTCAGCTGAAAGTGTCTCATATTCAACTAGAGCATTAGCTAACCGATCCAACTCTTCTCTCTTCTCACGTAATAACTCCTTTGCACGTTTCTCGGCGGACTCTACCATTTCTAAGACTTCCAAATCGATAATGGCCAGTGTTTGCGGGGATAGTTGATCATCGGATCGGTAAGCTCTTGGACCGAGGCGAGTCGAAAACCCCATCTCCCGTATCATAGCAGTTGCAATCATTGTCGCAGTGTCGATATCAGACGAGGCCCCGGAGGTAACACTATAAAAATATCAACATGAGTATCTTCTTACTTTGTGCTTGCGGACATCTTTAGCGACTTACTGCTCTTTGCCCATCAGCAACTCCTCCGCTGCACGGCCTCCCATGCCAACATCCAATCTGGGTATAACACAGAGCGTGTGTATCGTCAGGCTCGTGCGTAGATCGTTTCAGGCTGAGATTGCTTTGACAAGACATCAGAGAGCGTACCTTGCAAGACATTCCCGATAACTTTCACTCACTTTATCCATCTCTGGCAAAAAGTGTGTCTAAAGTGAAATCAAGTCCTGCGGTTCAGCTTATATCCATGGTATCATGGAAGACAACGCAACTCACAATTCCAAGGGCATGGCCTCGACGAAGGCAGGTTACTTTGTGCAATGGGGTTGCGCCAGGGGTATACATGCTTACCAAAGCGTGTCCAGCCTCATGGTACGCCGTCAATCGCTTTTGCTATATTTTCGTGATCCGAGCCGCATACCCAACTATGATCAATTGCGAGACACAGAGACAAGGTCACCGAGTCTGTAGAAAGATACAAAGCAACATACCTGTGGGGAGGTGATGTAATTCTTGTTTTCTGCTCCCATCATGATCCGATCACGGGCCCAATCAAAGTGGCTCGCCGTGACGTTGTCCGCTCCCTCTCGGGAGGCTTTTACGGCAGCTTGATTGACCAAGTTTTGTAGATCAGCACCTGAGAAACCTGGAGTTGAGCGTGCAACAAAAGATAAATCGAGGTCTGGAAAAGAGATTTATTAGTCTGATTCTGACGAACTGTAGGGAAATGTTCTTACCGCTATTGACTGTGACATTCCTTGCATGATGTTTCAAGATCTGTACCCGGCCTCGAGCATCTGGTAACGGCACGGCGACATGTCGATCAAACCTGTCAAACATGATACACAGGCCAATCTTAGCAAGTATCATAAAACAAGCTGGAAAAGATAGCACACCGTCCTGGGCGGGTCAAAGCCTTATCTAGCGATTGCGGGAAGTTGGTCGCTGCCATCAAGATGACTCCTTCCTGTACGCAAAGTAACAGGCGGAAAACATGTTGGCAATGTAAGTATAATGTAATAGTCTCTCTGCAAAAATCTATCGATCCCCATGTTACGCACAGTTTGTTGGAATCCATCGAGCTCGACCAAAAGCTGATTGAGGGTCTGTTTGATGTAATGTTGATCCTTACTCGACCTTTTCGCTCCGAGGGCATCCAATTCATCGATAAAAATAATCGCAGGAGCCGCCTTACGTGCTGCTGCGAAAAGCTCTCTGATCCGTCGCGCACCAACTCCAACATACATTTCGTCGAATTCGGAACCTGATGCAATGAAGAATTGCTTACGAGAGGAGTATGGTTAGCAGGTCGCACAACTAGTTTGAAAGACGAAGACATATGATGGGTGCATGAACGTGGAACTCACTACTCCTGCTTCACCGGCTACTGCACGAGCCAATAACGTTTTACCAGTACCGGGTGGACCCGTGAGCAATACACCTAGAATCCAGATCATCAGCGCAAGCAATGAGATGAGGTAATGGGAGGCGTGCAAAGCCGTATGACATACCTCGGGGCAGTCTGCCACCCAGTCTAGCGAAACGGAGAGGATCCTTCAAGAAATCCACGACTTCTTTCAACTCTTCTTTGGCCGAATCGCATCCATGCACATCCTCAAACTATTGTTAAAGAGATATTGAACTTGATGAGAATCTACATGTCAAGCTTGAAAAAGTTGCTTTTATATTACCGTCACAGGTGTTTGACCCTGAGGCTTGAATTCAGTAGGACCACCGGTCGGAGACGTGGCTTTCAGCAAACCAGAAGAGTCCATCACCAAACTTAACAACGTGAGCATCTATGCAGTAGCATTGCCAAAATGAACCAACGCTTAGTGAGAGCTACATTCGAGAGAACCGGGTTCTCACCCGGCAAGCTGCGCAGCATTGAAAACTCTCGAATAGTCGGACGAACATACAATGAATGAATAAACCAATGTAACCCCGAGGAATTTGAGTGCGCGCATTGCCATGTTCCCTTTCAGCTCCTCAACCACAACACGTATGGTGCCGGCCGAATCAGAGTCAGGAGATGCATTCGATTGCTGGCCCGAAGTAAAAGCAGATTGACCAGTAGCAGTAGTGGCGGCGATTGCTTGTTGATTAGCAGCGTGTAAATCCTGTGGTTGAACAGCCGCTTTGGTACCCATTCGATTAAATATTGCGGAGACAAGACTAGAACGAGTAAGCTTCAGTGATGTGAGTAGCTGGGTCAATTTAGTTTCAGAATTTAAAGTTGTTGGCGCAGGTTGAGCGACGCTAGCAGATGGAGGCGGTAACGAATCGAGAAGAGCCTGTCGCTGCTTGGCGCGTGTTTGAAGCAGTTGGGTGAGATCGTTGATGGAGGCTCCCGGACGACTGCCTTGAGCTTGAACCAATGCCTGGATATACCCACCCCAAAGTTCGCCATGATTCAGTATGTCACGAATCTTAAGGGATGAAGACTGCGGGCCTGAGGATTGATCAAGGATCTGATCAAAGATCTGGCTGAGATGGGCAAGGTCTTTTGGAGTACCGGATTTGATAAGCTGGAGCAATTGAGGAATTTCTAATAAATCTGCATCGACAGCTTTATCGGCTGATGTCGATGAGACAATATTGGGGTCTTTTCCGGATGAGGAAGCAGAGGAAACTGGTTCCGTGGAGAGATGTCGGACAGACCAGGTGGTGAAGGGACCAAACGATGTACGAGAGAATGTAGGGATCGACGAAGTGGAATGAGATTGGTTGAGGAGTTCACTAGTCTTGTGAAGCCTACGAGCGAAGTGGCTTGATCGTGAAGCTGGTGTGCGGGAGACAAGGATGAGATGAGTAAATTCCGTGGATATTTTGCCACGAAATGAGACTACTGACGATTTTGACGAGGTACTTGTGAGCATTGAGGCTCCGATGAATACTCTGGATAAAGATTACTAAGATATCCTGAGGCTGTAGGTTGCCGGCTGCAAGAGGAGAAAGCCTGTTTTCAGAAGTACAGTCCACATATCGTTATCAGTTTCGGATGAGCAAGAGGATCGCAAGCTAATCTGAAAAATGACTGACTCTGGTTGTTTTGACTCCATTCAAGAGGACTTCCTTCATCGACATCACCATCATGCCTTGACCATTAGAATCGAGCCTACTTTCTATCGAGATGATCGAGATCCCTACAAGACCCAACATTCAGTCAACACATCCTACCATCCTCACCATCACACTGATATATATGATCAAATATGTTCACTTGTATGTGGCCTTGAGTTAAACTCCGAGATATCTTCTTCACTCCTTGATCTTGATCGGCTTAAGATAGAAGAAGCCCCCGGATCACCTGTAAATTCAATTCTTATCTATGTATCCGCAGATACCGGTCCTTGCCCTGTCGGTGTAATCCGACAGTCCGGGTAGTCGGAATGACACGGGATTCGGAGCACCTCGAGGACTTACGACTGCGGCGCATTCTCAGCACATTTCACAGACATGTTATCTTATGTGTTTTCGGATCAGGATTACACCTTGCTCCGCACCGATTCCTATCTGGGCACACATCCACCAACTCACACATTGTCATCGACCATTGTACAACTATATCAAGTTCACTTCTCATAACTCGAGCGCCCAATCAAGCTTCGAATCAATGTCAGCCCTTGGAGTTTCAGTTTACCAACAAATTCGTGCCAACAAATCCTTATATCGCTTCTTGAAGCCGATTGCGAGTTGGTACGCTAACCTCGCTGGTTATCGGCAACATGGCCTCAAGTATGACGATTTGATCATTGAAGAAAATCCAGCCATGCAAAAGGTAACTTCGAATCATCATCTTTCAACATGCCTCAAACTACAACTCGTAACTAATACGCACTTTTAATTTAGGCCATCTCTCGATTAACGGAACGAGAACAATACGATCGAGCGTACCGACTTCGAGTGGCTTTTCAACTCTCTATCCTTCACAAGGAATTACCAAAAGCCCAATGGACCAAACCGGAAGAAGTAAGTCACATTTTCAAGGAATCTGTTACTTTACTGGGAAACTCATCCGTTCGTGCTGGCTTGTGAATAGGATGTAAGGTATCTCTCGCCATTAGTTAAGGAGATCGAGGCTGAAGAGAAGGAAAGAGCTGCCTGGGATACGGCACAAGTCGCCAAGTCCTCTCACTGATCTGCGGCGACACATTGAAGTTTCGTCGATCATGTTTGCTGGTCCTTGGGTCATCATCATTTTGGCAATGAAACAGTCTTCACTTTTGTCTTGTTATTGATGAGTAACAGTGCAGCGATTCATTTTATCGGAACAATGGTCACAACGGTGTCGAGTTGAGTTCCACGCCGAACTCAAGAGGCATCTCGAGAAACTATAAAACATCATGATCAAGACTTGGACGTGATCTGTAGGACTCATGCGCAATCGACAAGACCATGACTTGAATATCTAAGATCCAAACTGTAGAATCCCATCTGCATACATTGAACCTCGCCGCTATGAGGTCTCGTAATGTGATGTCAAAGTAAAATAAGTCGCAGCTTGCCTGAGCATCTTGTTGAGGAGTAGCATATGCACTGATGTACGAATTCATCATTCATGCGATGATGCATATATAAGTCTAACGGGAACTGGGGGGACAATATAAGCGCAATGGACCCGACCCCTGTCGGCCATGGTTGGTTTATCAGTGCCATGCTTCACACTGCGGAGGTGTAGACTGAAAAATGAGAGTTACACTCATAGGAAGCTCAACTGAGTTCAACTCCTCCATGAATAACCACCCCACCAGCCCATGCACTAAAAGTTATTCTTGATGATATATAGATGACATGCGCATCTCTTGAAATAGACAAACTCGTGTATGGTGGGGAAAGTTCCACACAGCTGGACGAGTCAAATCAAAAATGTTGGATCATACTTTTGTAAGATAAAATCACACGATGTGAATCATAACTCATGCATTTTGAGGTTTCTGTTTTCCTCAGCCTTGAAGTTTCGAGCACACGATTCACCCAACATTTATGTGATATCTTGGTGGTTTTGTTGGGATATGGTAGGCAAGGTTGGAAGAAGATGGTAAGCAAAATGAGGTCAGATATGAGCAGTGCTCCACATAAGATACTCCAATGGATGTTCAGAGAGTTCAGGGCTGTGATCTAAGGCAGACTCTGTGTTGAGATTCCTTTTTAGAAGCCTTAATAATTTGTGATGAAGATTGTGGTGTCAGAAGCTTTTTTTCTTGAGCTTCCCGATTGTTTGCTTGGTATGATTTATGACACCGGTGATGGTTCAGGGTCTCTGGAGAATAGATGGATGACTGATCGGGCAATATATATACATATCTCTGATCCATTTTTAACTTTCCCCAATTATAAAAATATCATAATGGTGAAGTGACACGCTGGTAAGTTTACTTGAGACTTACATATTCGTAACTTCCTTGATAGGATTACCACTACATAAAGACTGATAGATTTACTTATGAGTGACCATTTTCTCCAAAAGGTATTTGAAGTCAGAAGACAAGGTTCATTGACTATGTAGTTCACCACTTGAGCATTGTTGTAAGTATCTCCCCATCAGAAAAGGAGCTCATTGATTTATAAAGTTTTATTATGTAATAGCTTAATTGTGCTAGACAGAGAGTGGAGTGGTGCGTGGAGAGTGAGAGACTGATTGACTCCCAAAACTAGTTTCGATCAGTTCTTCCCAATCTCAATCAAGAAAATGTCGGATTCTCAATCAAGACCGTTCACAAACCTATCAACAACAACAACATCAACCTCAACCTCAACATCAACATCAAATCAAATCAAACCTATCAATACTAAATCACCTTCGATCATCATTCCCTCTGTTCAGGATACGCTTGAAGACCTCAGTTCACTCCTAAGTTCGTTCAGAAAGATATTACCACTTCGAAATCAACTCGCAAAACTAATCCCATTTCACCTTCGTCAATTTGCTCGGTCAGTAGTGTCTTCATTCACTTATCACTAGCTCCTCATTCGATCTTCAACTTCAACTTCACTCACTTCTTATCATTCTCACAGCTGGTGTCTTCGACATCTAGCCACCATGCTGCATAGTCGGAATTTACTCGCAAGTAACCTGTAAGCCTTATTCCATCAAATTCTTACCTTGTTCCATTCATTGACAATCATTGGGTCTCTTTATGCAGTGCGTACGACTTCACCATCGTTCTCCTGAAGTTGATCATCAATCTCTTCTTTCGTGAGATCAGACCAAGAGGATCTCATAAAATCCCTAAAAAAGGACCGGTCATCTTCGTAGCCGCACCTCATCATAATCAAGTAAATCATTTCATTCTGTCAGTTCATGTACCAAAATCTTATCTCGTTTCCTCACTGACGCCTCATTCACTCCTTAGTTTCTAGATCCCATCATCTTGATGTCAGAAGTCAGAGCCGCTGAAAATGCAAGGCGAGTATCATTTCTGATCGCTGAGAAGAGTATGAAGCGGCCCTTCATCGGTTTGATGGCTCGAATTATGCAAAGCAGTCAGTCAAAGTCTTCCTAAATTTCCATACACTTCTCCATTAGAACTCTCATATGCATGTCTCCCTCTTAGTCTCTGTCACTCGCGCGGCCGATAATGCTAAGGATGGTACCGGGTCAATCTTTCTCCTTGACCAAGACCTCAACATCGTCCATGGGTGTCAAACGTCTTTTACCCGCGAACTATCTCCTCGTATGCAATTGATGTTATCGAAGCAATTTGGATTCGCCACAGTAGAAGTTGTAGAGGTGATCAGTGATGTACAGTTGAAAGTTAAAAAGACATTTACGAGTAAGGCGAGTGATGTTTTGAGAGAAGAAGGAATGAAAATCACGTCCGGTCTTGATAAGGCTGGTCTCACATTCAAGGTTTTACCATATATCGATCAGGTCAGGCTAGCACAGCAGCTTCGATCAACTCTCTCTATACTTTCATTGCTTTGAATTGGCTCTCTAACACTGTTTTGTTTTGCTCCTTAGACTAAAATGTACAGCCGAGTGTACGAAAAACTCAAAAATGGGGGCTGTCTAGGGATTTTCCCTGAGGGTGGATCTCATGATCGTACCGATCTCCTTCCACTCAAAGCAGGCGTTTCAATTATGGCCCTTGGTGCAATGTCAGCTAATCCGGAAATCAAAGTTAGGATCGTACCTGTTGGACTTTCCTATTTCCATCCTCATCGTTTCCGGTCGCGTGCAGTGGTGGAATTTGGAAGTCCGATTGAGATTCCACAACAGTTGGTTAGAGACTTTGAGTCGGGTAATGAAGAAAAGAAAGCTGCAATTGGCAAAGTAATGGATTTAGTCTACGATGGCCTCAAGAGTGTTACTATCCAGACCCCTGATTACGATACACTTCAAGTCATTCAAGCTGCTCGAAGGCTCTATCGTCCGCCAAATCGACATGTCAGTCTGGGTACTGTCGTCGAACTGAACAAACGTTTCATCACTGGATACCTCAGATATCAAGACGAACCACGCGTTCAAGCTTTGAAACAGAAAACACTCCAGTATAACAAGGCGCTTAGCTATCTCGGACTCAAAGATCACCAGGTTGATAAAGTAGATCGTAGATGGTGGAAGAGTTTAATCCTTCTATGCTTTCGGGCCGGCTTGGTGACTGGTTGGGGTGTACTTGCGCTTCCGGGCGTCGTCCTCAATGCACCAATGTTCATCTGTGCGAGTATCATCAGTCGCAAGAAGGCTAAAGGTTGGTACATAGTCAACATTTTTCTCGAAGCGTCTCTTTCCTTGGCCGCCTCATTATTTGAATGTAAACCTGTATTCCATCTGACCTAACTTCTCTTGATGCGTTTACAGAAGCACTCGCCGCCTCGACTGTCAAGATTGCAGGTCGAGACGTGCTTGCAACGTGGAAGGTACTGGTGTCTCTTGGATTAGCTCCACCACTCTACCTCATGTATGTTGCGATTGCGGTGTCTTTAGCCGTGAAATACGAATTACCCAAGAGATATTTGATGTGGACGCCATTGGCAATGTTGATCGCCTTACCTTCAATCGGATATTCAGCGCTAAAATTTGGAGAGGTGGGCATGGATGTCTACAAGTCAGTTTAAATTACTCTGCCATGGTTGTTCAATAAAATCGGAAAACTCACGTCAAAGTGTCGTACTTCTTCTTAGGTCACTTCGTCCATTACTCTTGTCCCTCTCTGGAAATCGACGACAGATAGAACGAGTAAGGGGCATGAGAACCGAACTACAGGAAGAGCTTCATGGGGTGATTGAGGAATATGCGCCCAAGATATGGGAAAATTTTGATCAATTTAGAATCCACTCACCTTCGGCCGAAGTAGACCCGATCGGTAGCCCACGTCGCACCAAGCAATTAGCTCATTCAAGGAGTGCTACGGATTTAATTCATCATCCACTAAGCTGGTTGGATGAAAGACTCTTTGGTTGGTCTCAGCATGACTCGCTACGAAGGAGGAGGAGAAGTACTGGTCGAGGCTTGTGGGCAGGTGAAGAGGGAGAGGAAGAGATTACAACCCCGGGTTCCATGGCGAGTGGTTACTCGAGTGAGGCTGGAGATGATGATAATGAAGAAGATGGAGACTATGACAGTGTGGTGGGTATGCTGACTCGGTTCACAAGCGGTGGTGGCAGTGGTAATGGGACACCGGGAGTACGGAGTCGGAGAGGAAGTCGTGCAAGCCGAAGCAAAAGTATGGTCAATCTGACGGAGCTTACTACGACCTCTGCTTCAATAGCCGATAGCGCCAAGTCTTCAGCTGTGGGTGAGCGCTCGGAGGTAAGAGATGAGGGAGTTCGAAGGACTGCTGCTGCTGCTCGCAAATGACTATTTCACTTGCATCAGTCCTTTCTCGCACTTTGGTTGTCTTATTTGTAACTCATTGTTGTAAGGTTGTTAAAAAAACTTAGGTGTCAAAAGAGGTACTCCTTCCCTGTTGTAGCTTGTGTATGTTCGTATTGTTATCTGTTGTTATCGTAGATTATAGATTATCCCCAAAAAAGACAGAAACTAGAACCGTTATTATAGTTACAAAGGCTGTACTTCTCAAGCAAGAAGGTCACATTTCGCTTTGTTAGGTTGACCTCATTTTGGCTAGGGTACTTTGCAAGCCGCATTTGAAAGGCCACTTTTCGCTAATACTTCATGTATTACATTGATCTGGCATTTATTGTGCTTTGAAAGAGCAATGAACATTGAGCAAGTCTTTTCAAAGAAACAATTTTGATGTGTCAATCACCGAGGAAAACTACGCAACGAGGTGGATATAAAGGTGAAGTTGATGGAAATGTAGTTACAGCAACCTTTCAATGATTTACACATAGCCTAGCGAGGCCACCGCCAGCAAAGCACAGGGAGCTGTCAGATCAAATCCTTGCCTTGACTGAGATCTTCTTGGCGTAATAACATTCCATGCTGCGATGCTTTCCTTCTATAGGCGGCTTGATCTCTGAGCCAGCGCCTATAATCACTCAGGCTCCCAACACGCTCGCCATGCCAATCAGGTAGGGGGTTGTTGAGGTTAGATTGAGCGGGATCGACTCGATTTGCTTTGATGTGTGCATAGAACTGTGCATTTCGCTCCTGCATGGCTGCTTGGAGAGGTTTCGAAACGCCCAAGCGAAAGATACTATGACCGATCGTAGGTCCAATAAGGTAGCCAAAGATTGCGCATCCTAAAGTTGAAATGGCGTATCTAGAGAACATGTTCGGATTAGCCATGTGTTATGCAAATCAACATCGGATCTGGAACTAACCTACACGTAGTTTGCTTCTATCCCCATAATCAACTCAGTTGGGAGCGATTCAATCGTAGCAAAGCGGAGGATTCCCACAGATAGACCAATTGTGGTAGAGGGGATCGTAGCAAATAGAGCATATTGTCGTTGTTTTTTTCGTAAAGCAAGGTATTGTGACCATGACATGTGAGGTTCGATTGGATTCTTCGGGATAGTTGTTGAATCTAGTACTAATTTTTCTATCGAAGAATAGCAAGTTTACTTTCGAGTTACCTAAACTATGTTTAATGAACAGAAAGCTCATTCGTGCATGCACGACTCGGAAATCCTAACCTGACTGGTTGCGTTGATGAGTACTGCTACCGCTCATCGCCCTGAAAGCAGACCATTGAGACTTTGATATCGATCGAGCAGCTTGGAATTGAAACCTTTGAGGTAGAAGAGATCGAGGGAGAGTAATAAAGATACGGTTATTTGAAGGTAGGCCCATTGTAGGAATCTGATCAACGTTGCGAATGAAGTGTCTTGATCGCTAGCAATGGTAAAGGCTGAGTCGTGTTGACTTCCAAGGGTGATTTGCCGCTGACCCAATTTTTTGGGTATGAGTAGGCAAGACGCGGGCATGCTGAGCATGAGCCCCGGGACCGGCCCCCGTGCCCCTGACCTCCGGGCTACACCACGAGGCTACCTCGAACACTGAGAACCCATATGGGACGTGTTTGCATAGAGGGGGAGAGGTAAACCTTTTCCACCGTGAACCCACTAGGGACGTGCTTACATAAAGGTGCTTGAAAAAAAAAGAAGTTTATTCCGGTAAAAAAAAAGAGCTATCCTAGAATCAAAGACATCCAAATTCCTGCTTAGACTGTAAGCAAGGCCGCCACAGATACGATACTAGTATCGGTATCGTGTGGCACCGTATCCGGTCACTTGGGTATTGTACCCTGAGTATCGTAGCCGGGCTACGGCTACGATACCCAAGATGATTTCTGGCGGTATCGCCGATCAGAGTACGGTATTTAGTATCGTACTCGGCCTCCGATACGATACCGGATACCCCGTTGTTGCAGTATCCGGACTGATTGGTAAGTCATCTATCCCCTTTCCAATCCAAATCTCCCTGCTTTGGATCATTCAAAGCCGATTTGGGCTTTTAATTCACCGGATTTTGGCTTCAATACGATGCCGTACCGTATTGTCAGCAAATTTGACGATACGGTATCGTACCGTATTGCTCTGTTTTGTGCAATACGGTACCCCACATACCTTGGAATGGTATCGTTAGAGACAATACGGTTCTGGGTATCGTATCCGGAGCCGTATACAATACCCAAAAGTCAAATATGTGGTATCGTGCAGCCGGCTACGGTACTGGTATCGCCGATACGATACCGGTACCGTATCTGTGGCGGCCTTGCTGTAAGCCGTCTCTCCAAGGTATAAGTCTCTACATAATTTAACTTGTTTAGATAGTGTTTATGCAATAAATCCTTATGCACTTTAAAAAAAATCGTGAAGTGGTCGCCGCCAATGCGTAGGGTTACGGTGGCCGAGGAGTACGGTGGCTCTAAAGTGTACGGTGGCCGAGGAGTTTGGTGGCTCTAAAGTGCCACTTGAGTCATGTCGTCAAAAACAACAAAAATGACCTTCCTGACCCGAAATAAGCCCCGGTTAACAGGTGCCGACCCTGGACAATGTCCAGACCTGTGGCAATTCTCTATCTCTTCGAGGACCCAGTTGATCTTAGCAGCACATTATTGTATTGATGTTCTATATTTTGGGATTGAGAGAATGCTACAAGAAAAGAATCAAGGATCTGAACATCTTGTTCAAATAAGTTGGACATTGAAAAAAGAATCTAGTGATTCTTTGATTTCTAGCCGGACATCCAGCAAAGTGTCTCAATCCATGAATGCCACGTAAGGTATGCTATGTCTATGAGCTGAAGGAGATGAAGTACCTTCAAGTTCTTGGAAGACAAGCAGTTGTTAAGAGAAATAGAAGGGAAATAGAAGGACCCCTACAATAAACTTGTCAAAGAAAATCGATTGATTCAATTGACTATATACGCGGTATTCCTATCAAGTTTGTTTTTATTAAGGACGATACTATTTGGCAACCGGTTTTTTTGACCCGACGCCCGGAACCCGAAACACCAACTACACCACGGAAGGGGTTTTTGTCAGAAATTGGCCTGACGCCGTCTGAGATCGGTCAGGTCAAAATTCGGCCTCAAGACCGACTCGCAGGCCATTTATATGCGGGCTGCAGTCGAGCTTGAGCCCAGCGAGCAATCTGATATGCACAGGCGGCCTGCAGGCAGGCATCATGTTTCAGGCTTAATCCGGCCGGAATTTCGCCTGCAAGCGGCCAAGAGACTGCCAGCAGACGGCCACCACGGACAACGGCGATTTCACTTCAATCCCAAATTTGACTTCAAACCCAAATTCACATCATTCCAACCACACTTCACCACAACCACCTTATCAACTGTGCAGCGTGCTCAATCTAAATCATGAATGATCTACCACAGTGTAAGTCTTATTTCAATCACATTTCAATGAAGGCTTTCTACTGACACTTGACCCATAATTCCACACACATCCACTCAGTTATTGTTGAACAAAGCAAGAGTCCTTTAAGGTATTGATGTAATGTCTGCATCCAAAGCCGAACCATGAAATACTATGAAGCTCATGTGGCTTCACCAGCGCACATACGTGCCTCAGAGCAGTTTCTTACAAGACAAGCAGAAGACCAAGCCCTACGTCAGCAGTTTCCGACCCCTGTAGAGAGATCACCAACACCACCTGCAATCAACCTGAACCACTACTTTGAAGACAATGACCATCTTTCCGAATTGCAATCGGTCCCACCTTCTCCACTTTCATTCCTCCGCTCCTTCGGCCAAACAGACGAGGATGGATATGATTCAGATGACTCAGACAGCCAGATTGATTTTCATAAGTTCCGCAATACCTTTGATGCACTGAACACAGGACTTGACAACGCTGAAGATGAAGCTGTCTACGAGGAATTGTTGGACCACGAGCTCTCAGGCATTAGAATTGAGGAGTCAGCTGAATGGTACCCCTTCAAAAAGAAAGAGGTAAGTAGCTCGAGTATATTGCATCACTAGACACTCATTGATTGTTTTCAATTGTGACAGCATGTGGTAGCTTTGCTCATGATTGGATCAAACCGGAACCTCCTCTCGCGTGTCCAATACCAGCGAATACGGTCCCTTCTGCGTATTCTGGGAGTCACTCTGCCAGATTGGGGCACTTTGAGGGCACTTGTCAAAAGATTGAAGAAAAAAATGGGTCTTGATATACGGGAAAGGATTAGTCCATGTGGGAATCCACTGTTTGGTTTGGATGTCAAGACCATCATAAGTAATGTGAGCCAGCTTTCATTACTCAATCTGACTAGCTTAGACATAGCTAAATTGTTTGCGTTCACAGGAGTTGGCAAACCCCTTGGTCAGCCCCTATTTGGTATATGTGCCCAAGCTCACCATTGATGGGCTGATCAACCGGCTATCGCAGTGTGAAAAGTGGCGTGAAGATTACCCTCCTGATCTACGTGTTCAAATGATATCATCCAACAATGTCCACTACTACATCTACGAGCCAGTCCAACTGAGAACTCAGCAGCTTGTAGTACCTGTTTTCTTCTTCCAAAAGGATGGTTGTCTTATGGCCAAGTGTCTACCGGCCATAGTCAAACACGATCCTCATCACCGGTCTCAACTCAAAGTCATCATTCCTCAAGATTGCGCTTTTGACTCTGACACGCTATTCACCATTCCTTGCAAAGACTTTTGGCGATCATTTGGACATATTGAGGTGGAGAATGGAGTTCTTCTTAAAACTGTTTGTGGGAATCATATGTATTGTAAGTTCAAATAATATTAATTTATTAATTAAATGTACTCAAGAGCTAATGTGAATCATTGTCCTTGCAGACTCTGAACATTCAACAGTACCATGCAATCCAATTGAAAACCCGTGGCGAGCCAAGGCACAAGGCAAAATGATCCGCCATGTTCCTCTGGCTCTTTATTCTGACAACACTTCAGGAAATATATCCAAAAAGTGGAACAAACACATGAGTATCTACTTTACCCTGGCCGGCTTACCATCTGATCTATCAAACCAGGAGTTCAACATCCATTTCCTGGCAACTTCAAATTGTGCGACAGCCCTAGAGCTATTTGATCAGGTTGTTGATGATTTAAAGTGAGGCATTCTTGTTGTTGAAATAGGTCTACTTGGGTAATTAACATGCACTTGCTTCCTCTCAACACCGCCGGCGCTCCGCTTCTTTGCATATGACCAACATTTGGGTGCAGAAGTTTTGGTAATGGCGGTGCCTCTTTTTCACCTGGGGGACTCTCCAATGCACGCAGAGATTTCGAATACACTCAACCCAGCCAACACCCTCACGCCATGTCGGATGTGTGATCTACATGTGGCAAAGCAGGCTGACAAACAATCAGAAAATTTTGTCAGAGACTTTCTTGGCCTGGATGAAGATTGAGAGAAGGTATGAGACCAATCTTTGTTCTTCCAGATAGCAAAACTGAATGACCTCTGCAGTGCCTATTACCTGGCCGAGATTGGAACCAGACTAGACGATGGACCAAGGAAATTTGGAACACATCTCAAAAGCGCAACACTAAAACTCGAGTTGAAAAGATGGGCCGTGACTTTGGAGTTCGAGATCCTACGAATGAAGTTTTCCAGAAAAATGTGCAAGTAGCCCATGAGTCTCTGCCTCCTTCTGAAGTGGAGAAAATCTGTCAAGACATCAATGCTCAACATGGAGAACATATCTTCAATCCCATGTTGAGACTCAAAGGTGAGTCTCTCTCATTATACTTTGCTTTCAGTTGAAAGAAGCTGATCCATAGGCATTGTTTTGTAGGATTTGACGGTCACAAAGATACTCCAGTTGAGGTGCTCCATGTGGCACTTTTGGGTACCACAAAGTATCTCTTCCGCGACACGATGAAAGAACTAGGAAATATCAAGGCTGGCTCAAAGAACTACAACAATCTTTCCGGTCGTTGGAGGGCTTTCAATACTAGTGGTTTGAATATCCCGCCCGTTCAACCAAACACAATGATTACTTACTATCAGAGTCTAGTGGGGAAGGAGTTTTGAACTGTGTTACAGACTGTC